CAGAAAACTCAGAGAAGCCACACGCAGAAAGTTTTCTTTCCATATGGTGAATAACCCCACATCTCAGGTTGTGTCGGTGAAGGCAAGAGAAAAACCTGTTCCCCAGGTGTCCCTCTGCACCAACAGAGCAATAACCCTGGCTGATCGCTCCGACATTGGTGAGCAACGCAGAAAGGACGTAAAACAGCCACCAAAGACAGGAGCTGTTTGGTATAACCATGCTCAGCTGTCATGTAACAGTACCACACAGTGCTGCTGCTGCACGCAGCTGTGTGTCCAGCATCCTTCCTTAGCTGTTACTGTGGCATCGCGCATCTGCAAGGGGGAATTCATGGTGTGCTGGGGGACAGTGGAGCCAGCAGTGGCCTTTAAAAGAGGGAAATCAGGTATGTGCCTGTAGTCTTGGTGCTGTGGATGTGTATAGTGTATTCCTTATGTATTTGGTGAGACCACGCTTTGAGTACTGCTCACAACAAGAGAGGCGTTGAGGCACTGGAGTGTGTTCAGAGAAGGGCAATGAAGCTGTGAGGGGTCTGGAGCACAAGTCTTATGGGGAGCAAGGTGACGGAGCTGGGATGGTTTAGTCTGGAGAAGAAGAAGCTCGTGAGAGACCTTATTGCTTTCTGCAACTGCCTGAAAGGAGGTTGTGGCGAGTTCGGTTCGGTCAGTTCTCCCACATAACAGCAATTGGATGAGAGGGAACGCATCAAGTTGTGCCTGGAAGCATTCAGGTTGGATTTTAGGAAAAATACCCTTCTCAGAAAGAGTGGTGAGGCACTGGAACAGTTTGCTTGTGGATGTGATGGAGTCATGTCCCTGGAAGTGTTCAAGAACTGTGCAGAAGTGGCACTGAGGACATGGGTAGGGGGCATGGTGGGGATGGGCTGATGCTTGGTTTTCATGATCTTAGTGGTCTTTTCCAATCTTAATGATTCTATGTGCAGCACTTCAAATCAAAGTGGTTCCTGTGCTTTCATTTGGGAGAGTCTAAAAGGAGCATTTGGAGGCAGAGCATTATAGGCTAAAAAAACATGCGTAAAAGTGAACTATTTGTGGTTTTGATATCAACTGCTTCTTAATCCCACTTGTGTCCCATCCTCTTCATCTGAAAGTGATATTCTTAAGTGAAGAGCATTATAACTATTAAATGATTTGTTTTTAGTGATGACGTTGTAGTAGAGGCTGCATAGTGCAGGCAAGGGAAGTGATGTGATGTTGAGGAAATGAGAAATAGCCTGAGGTAAACAATTGTGTAACACCTTGACCCAAAACGTGGCTCAAAGAGCAAAATGTAACTCACCTTTATGTCTATTATGTGAATGGCTACTGAAAGATTACAGTTATTACAAGTATGCATTTCCATTGCTCGCCTGTCACGTTACATTGCTGTAGTTTTTACTGACTACCGTTTCAGATGTCGAATATATCCCTGTTGTATCGCTGTACATTCTGCTGTTTGCAGTTAGTTTTAATCTAATGTAGCTATAAAATATCACTTTCTATCCAAGTTAGCTTAAAAATCCAGCGTGTGAAAGTTTCCTGACAAATCTGTGAACATGGGATGTTTTTCCTTGAGCCTTATTAGGCTGCCTTGGCTGGAGTGAAAAGGCTTCTTCCACTGATAAAGGGAAGCACAATTCTTTACTCCCTTGTACAAGTGCTTCCAGAGTGAGGCTTCTTTTTGAATCTTCCCTTAAGTGCTTTCCAAACGTCTCATTCTTTTTAGGCCTTTCAGATGTTGGTAGGAAGTCATCAACTTGCATTTATCTGTGTTCATAAATTTTATATGATCTCTTTCCAAAAGGCAGATGTAAAACAGTGAGCGTGCAGGAGAGTCGTTTTATCTGCCTGTCTTGTCAGATGATGATAGGCTGAAATGGGACACCACAGAGTGACAAGGAAATTCTGTGAGTGCAAGGAGGGGTGATGGAAAATTACAGCACTCTGTAGGAGCGTTAATAAATTGTTGTTGGCTGTCATGATAACTGCAGTTAATATTTGGCTGAGCTTTCTTGTTTGCTCTTAACAAAAAGTGTTGTGTGGCGATTGTGACTTAAAAACAGTGAGGTGTTTTCACAAAGTCTCTGGAAGTTCTCTGGCACAGCATTTGTATCACTTCAGCACTGATGGAAGTGTTGGGGTGTAAGCTGCTGGGTTCCAGTGTTGCTGGTTTTGTGAGTAAAGGCCTTGATGTTTAACTATGTTTTGGCCAAAATCACCTTAGTTTAAGGTCTGGCTTCATAGTAAATGGCTTCTGAAGGGAGTGAGAATTATTCTTATAAATCTGTAGAGAATTCATCAGAATGGACTTTGGTGCTGTGTCAATAGGCATTTCTGAAGGACTGCTAGCGATGTTGTCACACAACCGGTTTTATCTCCAAATTGTTGCTAGGTAGGATGGTACTGCTGGCCAGCTGCATGCTACACAACTGTGGACTCACAGACCAGTTTAGGGAGCAAAGTTCAGTTATAGTTATCCTACCTGATCACATAGGACTTTAATGCACAGATGCATGTCCACAAGTTTGTATTTTCAGACTTTTTAAGGGGTCAGAAATCAGTGCGTTTCTTTTAAAGAGACAAAATGCTTCTGTTATCCTACAGACTGGAGTACTCCTGTTTCTCAAGGGCAATATACTTTGTGATTTACAATTTGTGATTGTTGCTAACATGGCAATGGAAGTACCAGACACTGATAACTGCTGGTGCAATGGTTTGAGATGGATGCGATTTGAGTCTGAGGGGATCTAATTCTACATACTTGGTTATGTGAGCAAATTCTGTGCATGCTAGATGATCTTTGAGGTCCCTTCCAACTCAAGCCATTCTACAATTCTTTGATACTTTTCAGTATGTATCTCATTTTCAAATCCTTACATGGATCATTTCAGTGAATGTTCTTTTTCTCAGATGAGCTATTTCATCTCCATTTGTTTGTTTGTTTTTCTTCTTACCCGGTCTTTTGCCTGGTCTCTGGGCAGATCAGTACAGCAGCACTGACCTGTGAAATACCTACACCTATTCTCTTAAATGAGACTTCAGGAGTAGCAGTGTGAAAAGCAAGGGGAGAAGACATAGCATGTCTGGTGTAAAATTCTCCTTGTAAAGTGTCAGCACACCTGCTTTTCAGGTGTATGCAAACCCATTTTGACTGTTAGGTGTTGCACCACCCAGAGAAACTGGAATAAAGAATGAACCAATGTCTGGAACAGGTTTCCTCGAAAGCTTGCGAGCACACCTGTGTTCTGGTGCAACACTAAGGGAAGGTGCTGATTGCTGGTAACTGTACAGCTGTGAGTGCTGGCTGAGGGAACCCTGGTGACTTTCCCTTCAGGAGGTGAAGCTGCTTTACATGTATTACACGTAATACAGCTCCGAATGTCTACAAAAACTTGGAAAATTGGAAGCTCATCAACAGAGCCAAGGATGTGCATAGCAAGTCAGAAGTGCATCAATCATGCACCAGGCCGTGGCTGTTAAGTATATTGCCAGATATAAGCTAAGATATGCGTGATAGTTCCCTACATATATATGTCATTTCTCTCACTTCAATTGTTCCCAGCACATGGAGTTAATTTTCATTTACTGGGCAGTGCTCAGTAGGTGCTCTTCCAGGGAGCATGTGGTATCCACTTAGGCTGTCACATTCAATGTAGGCATATTGGCTTTTTTAAAATGATTTTCACGTAGCAAGCACTTTCTTGTTGAGATTAGAGAGTTCTTGTTAAATCAAGAGAGTACCCCACATGTGATGTTCTTGGTAAACAAGGATCATCTGTAGAACTGAAGGTACCATTGAAAAATTGTCAGTCAGATAATATGTCTTACTTATTAATACTAGCACAAGAGTAATGGCTTTTAAGTGCACAAAGACTGAGGTGTTAAGACTTTGGTTTAAGAAAAGTAGTGTAGTTATTTCTCTGCAAAAATTGTGCAGGCAAGTCTTGATTTGGAGCGCCTCTATGAACTGGGATTTTTGAAAGTCAACTTAAAATTGCATTTGTCTGCAAGGCCTCTAAACTGGACTGGGTTGTTGCTCTGTGCAAGTGGTCACAAAAGTTACCCTGTGTTTGCTGATGCTTTCCAGAGTCCTGTAAAGCCACTTTGTGCAAACTTTTAACATTTACAGTCCCTTGCTTGCACTTCTCATTACTGCTGTGTTCTTTCTTTGTTTCCACGTCATCATTAAACAGATATTTTGGTATTTCAAACTCCACCATTAATTAAAAAAATGCAAAAAAAAAAAAAAAAAATGCAATTTATTCTGTAATATTTACCTTTAAGAAAATTTAGATTGTTATTATATGTTTTTACTAGTTCATAGTGAATTGTTTGCCTCGCTTTCTCTTTGGACAATAGAAAATCTTAGTATAAAAAAACATGCAAAATTTGTCTGTTGTGGCATATGGGTGTATGTGCCCATTCATCTGTCTGATAATACCTAGTAGTTATCTTTGCTCTATAAGGTAGCATTAGTTTGTATTCTTTTCTTAGTATTGCATGTTACCACAAAGATTGGTTTAATATTTTTTGTGGAGGAATGAACAGTGAAAGAGATTGTATGGGAACTGTTGAGTCACAGCCTGAACCACTGATTGAGCACATGGGGAAAGGACCTGGTCAGCCCTGGGTGACCAGGGCACAGGTGAAGGCAGTTCAGCTGTGTGATGAGTGGAGCCTGGCTGCACCTCTCTTAGACCTCATTTAAGGGCTGACTGCAGCTGAGGAAGGATCTCTTTATGGAGATCCCTCCTTGGTGAAGCTTTCCCCTGCAAACCTGGAATCTTCTGATATGGTTGAGCAGTTTTCTTCCCTTCCTATGTAGTACCTTTCTATCATGCTGGTCCTTCTGTCATCACAACCTTTGTTGTAACACCTTTTCCATTGTATTGATCTGTCCAACAGGTACAGGGGTGGGGTTTTTTTGTTGTTTTTTTTTTGTTTTTATAATTTAGGAATATGATTGACAGCTAATTCTGTGCTTTCTTTTGTTTCTGTAGGCTGGCACCGATGCGATTGTATACGCTGTCCAAACGACATTTTGTCCTGGTCTTTGTAGTATTCTTTGTCTGTTTTGGTTTGACAGTCTTCATAGGAATAGCAGGTAAGGATGTTGCCTTTTTAAAATATTACCTTTTTGTATTCTTTGTCTTAGTGTCCTGGTATTTACAGATGTGGGTGAAAGCTAATGAGCGTACTGCCCCTGAGACATCTGAGGAAATATAACTTCTTACTGGGGAGGAACATTTCTTCTCTGTTTTTTTGTTTTTTTTTCTTAATAGGGATACTACCATGTTAGACCATTTAACAGCTCCTCACATGATATCTTATTTCTGTATCAGCTGGCATGATCTGTGCTGCTCAATGACGACCATCTTGACCAGTCTTTGCACCTGTCTCTATCTCTACCCCATCCTTCGCTTCCTTTTAGAAGGAAGAGGCCTGCAGGGGCATTTGGCTCATCCAGTCCTGCCTGACTTGGGCTTTTTGTGTGTATCCATACCCTATAGAAAGCACTTTATTCATGGTAACATTAAAAATTTACCTATGGAACAAGTCCATTGTTCCTGCTGCTTGACTGTTGAGGCCTAAGGTTTGAACAGAATTTATTTCAGTTCTTGAAGATTGACCCGTGTTTTTCCTCTGACTTGCCTAAGGATGCTGAAGGGCATTATTTTGTGACTAAAATACTAAAAAAATACTTTTACATTTTATATGAATGATAAAATGGAAAACTGAGATTAGGTCAGTTTTAAGAATTGCTTAAAATTGTTTTACCTGAGAATGGGCGAGCAGCCATCTGTGCTCTTTGAGAATTTCATTCTTAATTAAGAGTGAATCCTAAAATAGAGCTGTAGGTCTTTTGTGTTATATCTGCCTGCACGCAGATCTAGTGCTGTGGGTGCCTTTGTTCCAGGGCTGCTGTAAGCAGTGCTCCAACATCTGCACTGTGCCAGGCTTCCAGGTCTAGTCTGCGGTTCCCTTCAGAAGTTGGCAAAGCTGGAAAGTTGTTTTCCTTGTGAGACTGGTTTGTTGGATGGCTTTGTTGACGAAGCTTGGACGCAGTTCATTATTATAACTTAATTATTTTTAAAAGAAAGTTGTTTGCCTTGGGAGGAGAGCCACGGAATGAACACTTACACTGTGGTGATTTTTAATGGCTTTGGCTGACAGCTTCATGCTTCCTGTTAACAGAGGGAGGGGCACGAACAATAGAGCATTCACTCATCAAAGGGTGTGGTATGAGCCAAACTCACCAAACCCAGAGGTAAATGAAAAGGTGGGAGATGCATCCAGCTTTATGTGCGACCTATATACCATTCCCCATACAGTGGTGGTTCTTTTGGGAAGGTTAGCAGTCTTAACTACTCATCTGAGTAAAGAATATAGCTTACTCTGAGGAGGCTGTTCCTTTTCAGTTCTTGTAACCTAAGAAGTGTGGATTTGTTTTTTTGCAGGTTACACTTGCTCGCTTTCCCTTTGTGTGTCTTTGTGATCGTTGTGGTGAGATGAGTGCAAGGACAGGATAAGTGCAGAACTCATTTCCTGTACCTATGCAGTTTTCATGTTCTTCATCTCAGAGTGGTTCTCTGCTTCCGAATGTGATTCTGTTAACTTAGCAAGAATAAAGGAAAGCAATAACAATGCAATTTAAGTACAGTTGTTGTTGTTTTATTCAATGATAAGACCGCAAGACGTTTCTGTCAGATGCTTTAAAAAGCTTTAGTATATTGCTTACTAGAGGCACAGCAGTAGAACCGAGTTACTGTTTTGGTTGCTGTTCAGTTTTGAAAAACTGGGATTGTGATCACTTTTCTTCAGTATTTTTTCATATCTTCTGGTTTATTTTTAAAAAGAGCTCTTCAGAAAGTTTTGTTCTGATGTTTTTTCGTTAATGCTTAACTACTGAAATGTGATGCCTAATCAACTCTGAGCAGTTACAGAAAAGCAATTATGCTTTTTGAGATAAAAATACTGGCCAAAAATGTAGCCAGGCAGTAGTTTGTATGTACTTGAGAACCGGGAAGTTCAGTAATTCTCAGCCGGCTTTGTAACAAATAGCTGCTTGTGAAATTGAATTGTAATATGAAGCTTAAGGTCTGTAAAATGGTTAATATTGTAGTTGGAGTGGTTATAGAAGCCCAAGCAATACTGCATGTTTATCTTAACTGTCGTGTCAGCTAACGTAAGAGTCTTGCCCAGAATGAGCTCATGAATAAGCTCACTCATTTATAAACCCTTCTTTTCTGTTGCTTCTCTGTCATAACTTTGAATTCCATGGTCTTTGTAGAAAAACTGTCTTTATTGCATAGTTTTTAATACTAATATTATGGCTGGAACAGCATGTTTAAAGGATTGGTAACTTGTGTTAAATTGCCATACCAAACAGGAGAGAAACTTGGACAAGGAAGGCTAACTGGGACTGGAACCAGAGACCCAGGCGCACATAGATGCCCTGTTTATTCCCTAGATGCTGTGCATCTCAGTGTTTGTTCACACCCCAGTATATACTTGCAGACCTTTTCCTACTATTCTCTGTGATTTTTCAAGCTTAGTTATTGTGTGTGTGTACTCGTGCCTGAGTATTATTTCCTTTTCTCCCTAATCCTATTCTTTCTCCCTAGTCCTCTGTGTTCTTGCATATTTAAGAAGATGAAGGAAAGACGTTGTTGCTGTCTACAACCTTATCAGAGAATAAAGAAAAGATGGGACTAGACTCTTCTCATAAGTGTATGGTGACAGGGAGAGAGGCAACAGATGCAAGCTGGAATGCAGGACATTGCAGTTAGATATTAAGAACTATTGCTGTTGTATTCTTTTTAATCATGAGTGGTTACAGATTGCCCAGGGGTGTTCTGGGAGCCTCTGTGCTTAAAGGTTTTCAGGACTTAGCTGTATGTGATCCTGATCTAATTCCATCTCTTTGGAGGGAAGGGTTGAGCCAGACAGCTGCTGGAGTTTTTTTCTAAAATAAACAAAGGTTTTGTATTTTCCCCATTTACTGCATACAGATGTAGAGGGGAGCAGGATGTGAGTGGACAGATGTAGTTAATCAGTACACATTCAGTGTGTGTGTCTTTATCTGGAGAAATCGGAGGAGTGATTGCCATAGGAGCAGGAATGTGGGAGAGAGCTGGGTATCTCCCACTACAGGTGGACTTGAAACTTTGATTGATTGGATTGTGTGTTTTAGGAGAACTTGTTTGTAGAACTTCTGTGCAATTACATTTATTGCGATGGTGTACATAATATATTACAGCTCCCCATTTTTATAGAAAAGAAGGGTCCCAATCTGGCTGGTCTGAGCACTATTCCTAACCACACTTGTGGGTTGCCTTCCTTGAACAGCCCATACGGTCAAGATCCTGCACGAGCTACGAAGTACGGTCACTAATTATGCAATCAAATACTCTACATGCACATAAAAAGGCATTGTAATTGCTCAGTCAGATGCAATATAATGTATTTGTCCAGTTGTGAGTGCAATGCAATATAGTTGTTATCTTCCAAGTAAATTGGGTAATGGTAGCAGTTTGGCCATAAAAACTGGAGAGATAAGTGCAGTTAAAAAAAGCTGTTTTTTCAGATGCTTTTGCAGCCCTTGATTGAGCTTCAAGGTGCTGTAACAGCAGTGCCTCTGCTGCTCACTTGGCTTTTTCTGGAGCCGACTACTTTCATGACTGTGACACACAGGGAGGGGAAACATAGAATGTACAGCACGTAGCATTAGGGAAAATACACCATGTCTTTGTTGTTGTAATTTGGAGTATGCATGTAGAACTTCTGATGTAGAGTTCTTCATTAATAATTTACACCCTATTTATGCTCAGGAAGATTATGGCAGAATCTGTGGGGGGGGGGAAGTTTATTAGTGATATTGAGAAGCCTAAGTGACCTACCCTTCAGTTAGAACATCTGCCCGAGGGGGTGCTGGTTACCTGCTTAGCGAGGAGGTATTTTGTACAATGTTTTGAAATCCTGTGTTTACACTGATCCTTCAATATTGTTCTCTTCCTTCTTGTTCATTGTGTAGGTCCTAATGTAATTGAAACTTCTGTAGCGAGAACTGACTTAAATAACAGCATAAAGGTAAGGGTCAATAAATAGTGCTGGATTATCCAAATATTTTTTATTTGCTATCCATAATGTCAGATATACCTTTTCTCCAGTCCCATTATTTTAAGTGGTTCATTTTCTACTAGGAAGCTTCTTGGCCACCTGATGCTTTCCAATTTGAAACAGAACATTCAGTGCTTTTACTACCACTGTGTGACCCAGCACCAATTTTTAGTCTTTTGCAAGTAGGTAAGGTAGAGAGTTTTGTGATGGGCAGTGTTTCTTCACAGTAATTCTTGATAAAGTAACGCTCATGACAGGATTCCCTGGTGAGCTCATGCTTGGAGATTCTTGTGAGGGTCCAAGATGAGAACAGGAAACAGAAAAACAATGTTCTCAGTGACAAATAATGATAACTCTCCTGTGATTTATTTATTTATTTATTTTTCTCCCCCTTTTTCTCAGCTGGGGAGGAAAGTCTGTTTTCCTTCTTAATTGTCCATTTTCCAGTGGCCATGACAGTGCAGTATGACCTCTTATTGTGAACCTTTACTGTCTTGAAGTATTCCATATTAAGCTTTCATGTTCTCATTTTCAGTTTCTCTATTTCTGTCCAGTTCTTTGCTGTCAAACAAATAACTAAAATAATTTTTATGAAGTTGCTAACAAAAAAAAAAAAAATCAAAAAAAAAATTAAGTGTAGTTTTGTTAAATGCCCTGACACTTCTGAAGGGTTGGGGTTTTTTTTTTTTTGGTCAGTAGGTCTCTTACACACATTTAAATTGGTACTGTACTACGGATGGACTTAAAAAATAAAAAATACTTTTCTTAATTGATATTAAAAATGCCTTTCCTGCATTAGATTTTCTCTGTTAATGTTTCCTCCTATGCTTTTGAATGTGGGATTTATAGAAAACCAGTAGAAAGATAGTTGTGATTTACATACTTAGATTTACACTGTTTTAATTCTGTAGCATATGGGCTGGGGTCACAAGTCTGAGTGGACTGATAAAGTGTTATAAATTACTTCTTTTGGGGGGGCCTAAATCTCTCATATTGGAACTCTTTTTATTGCTGCTGCTTTTACGTGCTTCAAGTAGTCAGTGCATTTTAGTGCTGTGCAAAATCCGTGTGCTGCTGTAGCTGCTTCATTGAAACACATATATATGGGGTGCTTGTACTGTCCATGCAATAGTACATATTAAATTTATTCCTGAAAAATATTGTTCCTAATGTACTTTTCATTGTTATGACTGCAAATGTATTGTGAAATATAATGACTGATACTAACCTTGGTGGGGTTTTTGTTGTGTTTTTTTTAACAGCTGAAGCCTTTTAATTTAAGTTCACCGCCACTGTCTACTTATAACCAACAACTGTGGCTGACCTGTGTAGTCGAGTTGGATCAGCATGATGGTGAGAGTCTTACCTAGTGTTTAGGAAACTGCTGTAGCAACCTAATATTGTGTACTATATTTTTGTTGTTGTTGTGTAGCCAATTCTGTTTCTTTGTGGCTGTGCTTGGTGGGTTTTCCCTCTGTCTCTCCATCTCTGCCCCTTGCCCTCAGTAAAGGGATGGGTTGAGCTGATCTTGAGAATTGGATGCAGCAGGTGCATGGGATACGTTGGGAGTTATTGCTATAAAAACTGCAGCGTGTAGGGAGTCTGTGTCTGTATGGGGAGAAATTAGATGTGTAAGTCGTAATGTTACTAACTGTGCAGTCAAGTTTCCCTGTACATACAAGAGAAATACTGTGATCAGGAATTCGTAACATATTAGGATTCAGTACAAGGGCTGTATGACTTCATGACAGAATATATAAATGATGGGGTTTTCTTGCTTATTTGTTTTGAAATTAATATGATTGAACCTTATTCCTGTAAAGCACAACCAAGTACTTCTGGATATCTCTTTTTAAGAAGTTACTTCTGCATCCAGCAATAGCTTAACGTTTTCTCTCTCAATTACAGTATCACTCAAAAAGAACGTTACTATGACAGTCAAAGTGCTTGGAGTGGTGAAGGATGGAAGCACCCCCTACGTTAATAATCAGGTTCACAACCGGACACGGTTGCTCAATTGTGCACAGGTACGTGTCTGCTTGAACAAAACTCTGCTGCAGTACTTTTACATATATTTGTGTGCATGCTCCATTACATTGCTAGTTTGTTTTTTTATGTGGCTTGAATTTACTACCTCAAAAAGACCCCTTTTTTTCTTTTTTTGTTGGAGCTTTCTGCCAGCAAAGTGTGCTGATTAAACAGATAAACAGTAGAGTGAGAAGGAACATTTGAACAGTAAAACAGGTATTGAGCTCTAGAGGAGAGAGGAAATTCTTATACAGCAACTAGAAGAGCATTTGATTGAAAGCAGCTAGCTTGTATGCTTGAAGGGGGGGGGAAATCTTCCCACACAAGAAGTTCCTAGTGAAACCTTTAGTTAAAGTTCTGAGTATAAGGACATCTGAAACAGTTTATCCAGAATGAAATCCTCGAGGAAGAAGTTCTTTTACGAGAAGTTTGCTTGTTGATAAGATGTGTAATAAGCATCATCCGTATCTACGTACTCAGAAACAAGTTATATTACCAGTGAGTTTTGTAGAATAAATTGAAGGTTTTTAAATATTACTCTTCCCTGTATGTGTCCACAGAAATGCAGTGAAATCATTGTTGCTCACCTGGGCTACCTGAACTACACTCAGTACAACATATTTGTTAGTTTTGAAGATCTAAATAAGTTAACGTATGCAATACAGAATATTACTTTCACAGTAAGTATAAAGTTTTATTCTAGCAAAAGAGGTCTCTGGAGCAGTCTGCTTTAGTTGTAATAAAAAGTTACTTTATTTTTGAACATGAAATATAAAGGTGCATTGTAATAAAGCTTTCTGTCTCTGCTGGTTTCAGAGTTGTAGTATTTGTGTTATTAGTGGTCTGGAGCAATATTTATCTTCATAGGGAAAGCATTTTCTTTCAGAACTTCTATTGCTGTTTTCAGGGACGGATAATTTTAGTGTAATTCCTAGAAGGTATTTAATGGTAGACAAGCGAGACTAGAACATACAGTTTTCTGCATTTTCACATAGAAATCTTGCCTTTCTAATCTGCTATTTTTTTTTTTTTTTAGCCTTTACAGGAGGTGTGTGAATTAGCAGGATTTTTTTTTAGACTCTACAAATGTGCTGGCCTGAAATATTTGAGACACAAAGGCAAATGGGAAAAAATTGTTTGACTCTACTTATGAGGAAGAAAAAATTGTTGTGGGTTTTTTTTTTTTTTTCCTGAGTGAAATAAGCAGGCAGTTCCTAGCAAAAAGAGCTGGGCAAGTTTCAGTACTAAAGGTTGTTAATAAAACAGTCAAAAGTGTGTTGAATCACTCCAAAAAGAGGTTTAGAAACATTTGCATTAGGAGAAGATGGAGCTAAACTGAACTTATAATACTAGTTATGTTGTATTCTGCCTGTATGTAACATTATGTGTATCAGAGCAGGCAGAAAAGGAAACTTTACTGTAAAGCAGAAGTGGTTTATATATATTAAATGAGCTTCCTGAATCTTCATATTTGATGTATTCTAATTTATAAAGTGCATCGTTAAAAATAAGTTGTAGGGGAAGAAAAAGAAAAAATCAAAGTGTTGGCTTAGTTGTGGATTTCAAGCAGGGTGAGGCATTGGTGCGTTTATAGTTCTACGGTTTATCGTCTTGCTTTGCAGACTTTCCTTCATGCAAACAACCAAAAACCCAATCCAGAGGCTCTGCTTTCCCGTAGCAAGTGAACATACCAGTGTATTTTGTTAATACAGTGCATTGTGGTGTTTTCAGTTAACATAACAGATTTTTTTGTAGATGAGGATCCTCCACATAAAGTTTTCATTCTACTTTTGCACTTAAACTTCTATCTTGTCTTTTTGTCTTTTTTTTTTTTTTTTTTTTACGGGTAGGTTAAATCCATTGAAAGGTAAAGCTTCTTGTCAGATGGGCAGAGCATATGTGGTGCATACATTTCAGAACTAGCTTCTGAAGAGAAGCAGGCCAGATAGGAGAATTTCTCAACAGTGTTCATGCAAAATGACATGTTATAATGAGTATTTCTGCCCATCTAATAATTAGAGCACTAAGGCAGCTCTTTTCCTTAATCTTAAAAATACTTTTATGTATCTGGTTAGCTCATTTATTCTTCTCTTGAGTCTCACTTCTGAAAAAAGAACAAGCTTTAAGAAAACAAGCTCGTTACAGAAAGCACAGCTGTACCTTATCAACATTTTCATAATCAGTTTATGTATTTGACCTTGGTAATAAACAGAAGTTAGTTGATTATTGAAGTTCAAATTTTGAATGTGAGAGAGATCAAAAAGGATTCTCCTTGCTGATTTCGAAGAAATACTTTGATGTGTGACAGCACAATGAGTGTGTTACAAAGTGGCAGGGTAAAGGAGAAGCAAAGATACTAGTCTGCTTTGGTTATCTTTTCATTGTGTAGTTCCTTTTTCTTCACCTGAAGCAAGCTTTAACGTGAAAGACAGTGTCTGTGAATGTATCTTTGTATTTCCATAGTGACATGGGGGAATTTGGTTATACCTTCACATTTTGAAAAGCTGGAAAACTTTTGAATATCTGCAAAGGATGTTAATTATTGATGTTGTGTGACCTCTCTAAAAACATTTTTCTTGTGTTTTCTTGTAGTGGAAGACGTACAATCCAACATTTTCACAAGTGGAAATCTGGTTCCGATTTGTCTTTGTAGTTCTCACCTTTATGGTCACGGTAAGATTATTGCTTCAGTGTTTTTGGGTAATGCTGCATGGTAGTGCTTTATTTAGTAGAACTTAGCCCCAGGCTGTCCAGTTGAGAAATTGTTGAATGGGTGTTAATAAAGTTTCTAAAATACTCATTTACTTGCTGCTTTTATGTAGTTACAAGTGGCGTTGTGGAACATTAAGAATAAATGGGAGAAACTTGTCTTTTTTTTTTTTTTTTTTTTTTTTTACACTGATTTTTGAATATAGAAGAGATGTTTTCTTCAAACAAAAAATTCTGATTAGACCCTAGAAAAATAAGATGGCTTTTTCAGTGGGCTCAGACATCAGAATAGGATGCCCAGACAGTCTTTGTTCTCTGTCTTTGAAAATGAGTAAAACTCAATTGAATATGACCTTGATCTAACTTTAGAGTCATCGCTGTCTTGAGTGGGAAGGTGGACCAGATGACTTGCACGTGTCCCTGACATCCTACATTACTCTGTGATTTAGATTATCTATCACTTCACAGTTATGCCACTGGAACAGAAATGTCTGGGGGGAAAGTAAAACAGTAGAACAATAAAAAAGCAAATTCTCAAAGTAAGATTTAAAAATACTTAGCTACATTTCTTTCCCATGTATGAGGTCACTCACTGATGAACTGTGAATGTTGTATAGGATCTGGGTATGTATTTTTTTAATAAGTGACTTTAAGTGGAAGTTGTTTGTAGTGTGTGACCAGTAACTAGGCAGCCTTTTTTTTTTTTTTTCTGGCTTCCTTTTCAGTTTGAGAGTAATTTGTGTTGAGGTTAGCTAACAAGGTTATTGCTAAAGGAGGAACAAGACTCCTGTTTCACTGTGTTATCAGTGTCAAAGGCCTTGCAAAGTGGTGTTTGCAATGTGCTGTATGTCGCTATGTAGGCTATTTTTTCCTTCTAAATTTTTTTGTGTGTTTTTAGTGTCTGTTTGCACATTCTCTACGAAAATTCTCCATGAGAGACTGGGGTATTGAACAGAAATGGATGTCTATCCTCCTTCCTCTCCTCCTGCTTTACAACGGTACTGTGGTTTTTTTATAAACTATCTTCTTGTTGTTTTTTTTTGTTTGTTTTTTGTTTTTTTTTAAAGAAAGAAAAAAGAGAGAAAATGCTCAATTTTGGCCTTGAACTTACAAGCAGCTGTCTATAAGGCTTCAGAAAACAAATTTATAAAAAAAGCAACAACCCTTCTAAAACGTCAAATTCAAAGTTATAATCAATAGGTAGGCTTTGTTCTTTTCCCTCACCTCCATTTAAAATTGACTGCAGTAGGAGGCTGCAACCATGCTGACCCTTTCACATGTAAAAGTAGTTTCTGTATTTGTCTGATAAGCCTTGCTTCTGTATTTTTCATATGCTCATGCTGTATTAAAACAGAAGCTGTGTTGTAAAAATAGAAGTCTTGTAAATGACCTCAATTTCTAACACTTTCTAGCAGTATTGAAAGAATGTTTGTCTTTCAGGTATTCTGAGGTTCATCACCTAGGAAAGTGGTTTAGCGGAAGGTCTGTTAAAACACAAAGTCTTTCAGAAATGTTGGCAACTACATATTTGTGTAGTTTTACAGTCAATTGCAGCTGAAGGCGCCATTTTCTTTGCAAATTATTGTAAGCTAGAAGAAACTCCAATTTCACAGAATCACAGAATCACCCGGGTTGGAAGGGACCTCAAGGATCATGTAGTTCCAACCCCCCTGCCTAGCAGGGCCACCAAACGTACACATTCAATTTCAATACAATTCACAATACAATTCACATACAATTTCATTTAGTGATGTAATTTTAAAAAATCTTTTTCTTCTCAAGATGAATTCAACTTATTTTTAGTAAAAGACTGTTCTTTTTCCCCCTCCGCTTAACTTCTTTTCTTTTGTTACAGACCCATTTTTCCCCCTTTCTTTTCTGGTGAACAGTTGGTTTCCTGGAATGCTGGATGACCTATTCCAATCACTGTTTCTGTGTGCGCTGTTATTGTTCTGGCTTTGTGTCTACCATGGTATAAGAGTACAGGTAGGGGTGCAACCATATCTAGCATGCTTACTGAAAAGACAGTACTTGTTTATTCAGTTATCTCAAAAGGTGACAAATTAAAAACTTAATTAAAAACTAAGTGGCATTTTAATCTTGAAGTACAATGTAAGAAACAGAATTAAAATGTTCTGTGGTGAAGTAGAATGCATTGAGATCGCCACACCTAAATAAGATAAATGGAGACGGTCTGCTCAAAGCTTTGGAATGATGGTACTGTTGTTCTTGCTTGAAGGGTTTTGTTGTTGTTTGTGATGGTGGTTCATTTTTAAAACCACTTTATAATATTGCATAAAGGAAATGTGAATTCTGGGGCAGATTCCTATCATTTCAGTATCAGTGAAATATGTGGGACCTGAAAAGCAGGATGCCCCAAATCTCTTCTGTATCTTAACTTTAATGCAAATGATACAATTTTGTATCTTTTTTTTTTTGTTTGTATTCTGCAATCAGCTGTAGAAGTTAAAAATACTGAAGGTGGTTTTTCTTAATCTAATTCATCAAATGAAACAAAGGAAAGGCTATTTTATTCTGCCACGATGGATTCAAATCTCAAATGTGGGTTCTCTCCTTGACCATGCTATTGTTTTATCAACAGGGAGAAAGGAAGTGCTTAACCTTCTATCTGCCCAAATTCCTTATTGTTGGACTATTGTGGCTTGCCTCTGTTACGTTAGGAGTATGGCAAACGTGAGTAACTTAAGATGTAATGCACAAGTTATGAACTGAAATTGCTTTGGAGTGGGAAGTTTGTTTATAATTCTGTCTTCTTCCTCTTTGTGCCATAGAGATGGAGTTGAAATTACATTTTGTTTTGCAAAATGTGACTGATTTGAGAACAAAATTCTTCGTGGACAATTTAGTAGTACATAATCTTATAAATTAGAGTAAGAACTAGAAGTCAGTATGTCAGTATGTTAGGGCTCCCTCCAACGCGCTCTTCCTATTAGCTTTTTCAGTATTTGAAGCATCAGTTGCTCTGTTACCACAGTTTAACAAAGCTCTTCAACCTGCCCAATTGGTATTAACAGATCTTAGCCAAGCCATGCTTCTCAAGACTGAGTTGATGAGTTCAGTGTTTTTCCTCTTTCTCACTGTTTCAGTCACTTACGTGAAGGTGTCAGTATTCCACGCAGAAAACTTTGTCAGTTTTGACACGTTTTTAAATCTCTTAAGCATTTTACTCTCAATTGCTTGTCTGTCACTTTATTTCTCAGTATATATTTCTTGCCATTGCACATTTTTGAAAGTGGTGCAATTGAAGGGAATGTTGGTTTTAATGTTTTATCAGCAGAATTTGTATGAAGTAAAGGTTTAAACAGCTGTTATTTGGGTATCGTTCTTATCACCAAAGATGAGATTGAAACAGTAAATCATGAAGGCCTGTAGGAGTTTACAGAATTACACATTTCCTATAAAGATAAAAATAGAATAAAAGAATCATCCAGGTTGGAAAAGACTCTAAGATCATGAAGTCCAACTGTCAACCCAAACTACACTGTCCCACTACCAAACCCTACATATCTCAATACTTCTAGAAATGGGGACTCCACCATTCCCTGGCCAGCCAATTGTAGTGTTTTTGTACCTTCTCCTCGAATAAATTCTTCCTGATGTCTGATTAAACCTCTACTGGTGCATCTTGAAGCTGTTGCCTCACCTCCTATCATTTGTCACCTGAGAAAAGATCCCAACACCCTCCCTGCTGCAATCTCTTTTCAGGCTGTTGTAGAGAGCGGTGAGGTCCCCCTCAGCCTCCTGCAGACTAAACAATCCAAATTCTCTCAGCTACTCCTCATAAGTCTCGTTTCCTAGTCCCTTCGCCTGCTCAGTAGATCTTCTCTGCGCACAAGGAGGGAGTCTGGACATGATGGCTACCAAAATCATCCATATTCCTTGAAAAATGGGATTTAGAAAGGAAAAGGATGTCATGTAAATTGTCTTTGAAATCACTGGCATTGCACTGATTTCTACAGCCAGGATCTTTAGTTCTAATCTTTGTGTAGTAACTTTAAACACTTTCTTTGTTAGTAGATTTCCTGGTCTGTGTATTGTTTTTGACCTTGTATTTTGTAGTGTTATATTGTACCAATTTTTCATTTTGAATTTTTTCTAGTGTTAATGAAGTACATGATCCTACATATCAATACAGAGTTGACACAGGTAATTTCCAGGTAAGTCAGAAATATTTCTTTGATCTTCAGTTGTCAAATGTAGTTAGGCAATGCAATGAAGGGCATTTGCTCTCAGATTTCCATTGAGATTTAACAGTTTAGAAAATTGTTGACCTGGTGATCTTACTTGGACTGCTAGGGTACTTTGCATTTTGCTTCAGATCACATGTAGGCTATATTGAACTCCAACCCAATGAGAACAGTCTTGCTATAATCTTGGGTATCTGGAGACTGGACACTACATGTTTTGTCAGGGACTCATGACTGTGGGAACCAAAAGATGATTATTTTTTTTTAAGCTTCTTAAGTCAGTTTTGTATATCTTGACTCTTCCCAAGGTCCTCTGTACTAGAAAATTTAAAACTTCCTTACTGGAGAGGAAGATATAATTTATATGGTTTCCTGTATAATTCTCAGGAAATATGTTTGTTTAAAAAAAAAAAAGTGTACCTTGACATATGCCATCCTCATTTTGTACTTCCTTTCATACTTTCCCTGAATAAATGCACCATTCTGTACTGTGTTTTGGAAATCAACAGTTTCTGTTGCAGGGTACAACTGAAGAAAGCAGGAATAGACCAAACTTTCTTAAATAATATTCTTTATATAGGGAATGAAAATCTTCTTCCTTGTGGTGGCAACCACATATATTCTCTACCTTCTGTTCCTGATAGTGAGAGCATGTTCAGAACTCCGTAACATGCCTTATGTTGGTAAGTATTCCTTTTGGTTCTTCTCTAAGCAGGCTGTCTTCTCCTAGATGTAGGTGTAAATTCTCTAATAATAATTTTTCTCAATCTTTATCAGATCTCAGGTTAAAATTCTTGACTGCATTAACCTTCGTAGTGCTCGTCATTAGGTAAGGCTTTTCCAAGAACATTTCTCAGTACTTGAACTTTTATATATTTAAAGTCTTGAAAGAAAAAGTTATTTTTTTTATAATATACTCAGTGAAACTGAGAGGTGGTTTGTTTTTTTTTAATATATATATTTTGCTTGGTAATCAATTCATAATTTTTGGAGCCTTTTCTTAAGGTTTTTATAGACAGTTTTGTATTTCCATTACTGCCACAATACACTGGAAGACTTAGCAGGAGATATATTTTGTATTGCTGAGTAGCTTGCAGTGCACTGTTGATCTCTTTTGGAGTTTTGTAAGCTGTGTTCTGTAAAGCAGAGGTTTAGAATTACTTTTACTTTATTGTTTATATCTGTCCCCCACTCCAAGCAATTATTTTAAATTGCTGCTGGCTTGTGGATTGTCTTTAGTGGGTGAAATATGACAAAAGTAGACCATTGTTTTTTGTTTTTTTTTTTTCCTTTATTAGATTGACTGCTGAATTTAAATCATAAAATAATAATTATTAATTTAGAAATATGAAAACAAAGTGTGTCTTCAAATAAACAGCATTTTTACGTAATTACTTTTTTAGTATACTACTCTATCAAACTTGCACTTAAATTTTGCATTTTAAAGGCTCATTATACCTATATGCCATTACTTTTTTTTCCCCACAGCATTGTTATACTCTATTTACGCTTTGGAGCACAAGTTCTACAAGACAACTTCGTTGCTGAGCTGTCAACTCATTATCAGAATTATATCCTTGTGTTGTGATGCTGCTCAACTGGGAATATTAATCTGGTTTTCCTTAGGAAGTACTTAAAGATGATTTACCTAAGGACTCAGTATTTTGACTTTTAGGTGGACTTTTGAAACCCTGATCAAAATCGATAAAGCATCATGTCACTATTTTCTAGTAGCTGTTTGTAAAGATTATGAGCTGAGACAGTTTCAGTCTAATTTGTTTATATCAAGTAAACCACAGCTGCATTTGCTACTCTTCAAAAGGAATGAAAGCCCAGGTTTTGTTTTAGTGGTGAAATAAGAAATATTCTATTTTAGTATGTGCTTCACTACTGAAGAGAAGAACTTTTCTCAGCAAATATTACACTTTAAAATTGAAGATTTGTCTTCAGTTAGAACTTTACTTAGAAACAGCTTGAGTATACTAGTTGTCAGTTAATCTAAAAAAACAAAAGCCAATTGTTCATCCATTCATGCTCTCAAACTTTATTGTGACAAAAATTCTTTCTGTTGGAGCAGCTTACATATGTTTTGAATCTCATTTCCAAAGTTTACGTGAGGGGAGCTATATTGAGAAAAATCCTTGACGCTTTCTACCAGCAGAATTCTTATCATTTTATGGTTTATTGAACTTCTATCTCTACACATTAGCCTTCGTCTATTCCCCCTCAAAGAATGCGCTGTATGGTAAGTGTAAGCAATTTGTGGCATCGTAGAATGGCCAGGGTTGAAAAGGACCACAATGATCATAGAGTTTCAACCCTCTGCTATGTGCAGGTCACCAACCACCAGACCAGGCTGCCCAGAGCCACATCCAGCCTGGCCTTGAATGCCTCCAGGGATGGGGCATCCACAACCTCCTTGGGCAACCTGTTCCAGTGCGTTACCACCCTCTGGGTGAACAACTTCCTCCTAATATCTAACTTAAACCTCCCCTGTCTCAGTTTAAAACCATTCCCCCTTGTCCTATCACTATCCATCCTTGTAAACAGCCTTTCCTCCTCCTGTTTATACTCTCCCTTCAAATATTGGAAGGCCACAGTGTGGTCTCCCTTGAGCCTTCTCTTCTCCAAGCTAAACAAGCCCAGTTCCCTCAACCTTTCCTCATAGGAGAGGTGCTCCAGCCCTCTGATCATCTTAGTGGCCCTCCTCGGGACCCACTCCAAGAGCTCCACATCCTTCCTGTACTGGGGGCCCCAGGCCTGGATGCAGTACTGCAGATGGGGCCTTGCAAGAGCTGAGTAGAGGGGACAGTCACCTTCCTCTCCCTGCTGGCCACCCTTTTTTAACGCAGTCCAGAACACAGTTGGCCTTCCAGGCTGCAAGCTCACTCTGTTGATACATGTCCAGCTTCTTGTCCATCAGGACCCCTAAATCCTTCTCCACAGGGCTGCTCTCAAGGAGATCTTCCCCCAGTTTTATGAATACCTGGGATTGCCCTGACCCAAATGCAGCACTGTGCACTTGGCCTTATTAAACCTCCGTCGTCTGGCAAACTTACATGACAAGAGTTGGCATATTAGAACATACTGTGTAATGTCCTTACGTATTTTCTTGTCTCATTAATTTCTATTTGCTTTGCACTAACAGAAGCTGTGCTGTTCCTGAGTAATTTAGTATTGGAAATATGAGGGAATACTAAAATAGTTACAACTAATAGAGTTGACTTGAATTCTTACACCTTTTTTCTGATTGAGCTTATAGTCAATGTGTTTGCAAATACTGCTCTAACTTTTGAGCTGACTCACAGGCAGCGCTTAAAGAGCAAGAGTACTTTACTCATACTTTATTATAATGATAAAGTTAATATATTTACATGCTGGCAAACTTGACTGAAATATGGAAAACAGGCTGATGGAAATGTAGGAATTAAGCTGCTCTCTAACTTGGGGGGGATCTTGGGGAATCTGGAGGGGCTTGCTGTGCGGAGAGGAGTTCACAGAGCCCGTTTAAAGGGGAGGCGAAGGATTAAATCTGTGGCACTTTTTTTGCTTTCCTAAGTATAGGATATGATCTGACTCTCATAGTGATTATAAAGCATTACTCCTATCTAACAGATAAAGATTCTGTAAAGCATGCTTATGTAGAGTGCATTCTCTGCTTTAAGCATTGAGTTTAAAATATACTGGGAGTTGTGGGGTAGGAAGGCACGAGATTCTGAAGCTGGCACTTTCTCTAAACTTTTTAGATTTGAGATTAATTGTACTGTTGCAGGAAGATGCTGTTTTTTGTTATGAAAGACAAGACAAATGGTGGAGGTGAGGATAAAAGGTTGCAAGAAGTATTAACCTACAGAAGTTACGTAGTAAAAACCTGCTAGAAAAGAAGATGCTTTTGGCAAATTGATGGATTGGACTGTATTGCATGTAATTTAAAACAGCAGCTATCAGCAACAGGTAGTACAGAAATCGATGGTTTTAAAACAGGAAAGAGAGATTTGTCATAAATAGCCAATAGAAAGTATGTACCTTCCTTTTGTCTCACAATGAAGTTGCGAGTCCTTCCTTCATCTATTACAAGGGTGGGAAAGAGCCAGCTAGTTGTTAATTTACAACTTTGGTCTGCTACATTCAAAACTTGGAACAAACAAGGTGTTGAAGCCTATGCTTTTGAAAAAAGTATGAACATTTGAATAATCACAATGATAATGTATGACTTAACTATTTGTAAATAAAAACAGTATGGCATGAAACTGAAAAAGGCAGGAAGTCTGCTTATACAACCTGGGACATGTATATCTGAAAATACGAAGAGAACATTATGTCGTTTCTTAAAATTATGAGAACACCATGATGATGTGGGCTGAAGGGTGGAGAATTTAAAGGAAAGAGTTCTTGGCTATAGTTTTGTCAAGTTGTTGTCATGATTGCCTTGTAAGTTTTGGGTCTGTTGCTTCAGTGTTGGAGTAAAAGTGCAGCTGTGTTTCTAAATTTAATGTGCTAAATTAACCCTTGTTTGTATTTTTCCAGAATCACAGTTGAAGGACAATCCTGCTTTTTCTATGCTGAATGACTCAGATGATGATGTGATTTATGGGTAAGACTATAAAATAAGTATGGGGTCTTTTTGGCATGTTGTTTTTTGTAATATTCTTTTCCATCTTAATTAAATAACTGTAACTGAAGACTTCATAGATTGTTAGTGAAAGTAGACTGCCTGTGTAACAGAAGTAGCTTATTCGGAAACAAATACAGTGAGAATGGGTGTTATTTTGATTATTTTGGTTTTCTTTTTGGTTTCTCAAAGGAATTGCGAAGGCTGTGACACAAATGGGTAAGTTAGTATTTAGGATAGAACAGGACATGGAATGAAGGCAGAAAGGTACGTGAATGGAAAGGAATTCCTTCCAAATTGGGAAAGATTGGAGGAATCAAGTTTAGTCAGCTAGGGGGTGACTCATACAGAAATGCTACAGAGAGGGATAATTGTCCATGTGAAGTGTCCGTCACTTATCAAAATAGCAATAAACAAATGTAGCAAAAACTTCCAGGACTTGTGTGAGTTTATGTAACATTAAAACTAGAGTAGCAGATGAAAACTTAACTGGGTCAGGCTTTCCTGTGCTAGATGCTGAACAAACTGGTTATCTGCCCTTGTTGTTTTCACCTTTTAAGCAGAGGCGCCGAAGGGCTGACCAGTGGGAATGGTTTAATACTGCAGTAACCTGAACAAGCCTGTGCTAGAGTAGCTGCGTGCTGAAGTGGCTTGTCTTCATTTAGTTGGATGAATAGTGGACCAGCGGTAGTGCCAGCTTGCTCGCATGCTAATCCTTGTCAGTAGTGGTTTGTAGCTACTGCAGTAATCTTTATTGTATATCAGCCTCTGGAGAGAAGTCGTACATATTTTTTATAACCCCAGAAGGAAGCGAAAGAAATACAAAAATACAAACTTTTTACTCAAGTAACAATTTGATGCCTCGTTGTATTTTAGAACTTTCCTATTTTAGACTTACTGATTATTACGTTCAGAAGTTCTCAAAAAAATGCCTGTTTCACAGGAGTGACTATGAAGAAATGCCACTTCAGAATGGCCAAGCTATTAGAGCCAAGTTTAAAGAAGAATCAGACAGTGACTGATGGAGTGATTTTGATATAGACAGACTTGTTCAGATGAAATTAAAGCAGTTTTGAAGTTTTCCTAGATGGACCACTTCCTTGGCTTACAGTCTGCTGTCATCTGAATATGGAATTCCAGGAAGGACATTCTGCTTCTGTTTCTGTTTACAAAGGTAAAGCTGAAAAGAATGCTTGAAAAGGTTGTGGTGGGAACTCAAGGAAACCAAAATTTATATGCGTCTTACAAAATGCCTGATGGCAGGATGTCTCTGGACTAATATTTAAGTCTGTGTCCATTTTGAGGTGTCACAGGTTACGTACGGATCTTAAAATTGCTTCTTTGCTGCTTGGTGGCTTGTTGTTGTTTCCCCTCCCCTTAGGATTATGTAGAGCACAGCATCTTAAACCTCTTGCATTTTTTTCTAGCTCCTTTTCTGTTGTTCACTGCTGTATGAAGTGCCTCTTTTCCCTTTCATTTTTCTACCTTAGTCATTTAGACTGGAGGCAGGGATCGATGTGCTTTAAGGTTCTTTCTCCTGCCTCTGTTTTGTTTTTTTTTAATATTATTTCTTGGAAATGCAGAAAATCAAAAGCTTCCCATTCCTCCTTCTAAAAGGTCTTCAAACCATTGTTTTAACTCCATTTAAATGGGATTTACCAGATATGTTACAAGCGCGGGATATGTGCAAATAGGTTCTAGTGAGCAAAAATGGGCTGTGGTCCAAAGTTATTTGTATGATACAGGTTTCATAACATGCTTTACCACCCCAGCAAAACTGTTTGTTTTGTTATTGTTGTTGTTTTCAATAGCCCTTTAAATAGAAAATATTTAGGCAGAAGTAAACCTCCGAAGGAAGTCAGAACTTTTGTGTGTGTGTGTTCTGGAGGAGATTGTTACGCTTAAAAGAATACAGTATAAAGTTCCACTTCATATTTCCAAACATTTCATTGTAGATGCTTTTTCTACATCAGACTTTTTCATGAAGTTGTATTTATTGGCAGTTTTTATGCTTTCTGGGAATAATTACAGGTGCTTATGCCTTGAAGTTGCTTAACAGCTTTTGAGCACGTTCTGTGCATAGCTCAACTTCTCTGTCATACCACATACATTTTATGATTCTTTATTCCAGTATGTGCTGGAACAGTTATATAGGAATGCAGTATTCCTCATACAATGATGCTGCTTCTCTTTTTAAAAGCTGTTTTTCTTCCGCACTACTGCTCAGCTCTATATTTATCTGGATGCTGTTTGTTTCCAACTACTTCTGAATTTTCAAAGACTTGACCAGTCTCTTCTTTTTTTAAGAAATAGATTCATAACTGTAATGTACTTTTGTAACATTTCTCTGCCCTGCTGCTGTGGAAAAGATATATTAGGCAGAAAATGGTGCTGGCTTACACTAGTAAATCATGCTTACGACAGACCCAGTCTAAGCAGAGCAGTGCAATGAAGTTGTACTAAACGTACTGAATCACATTGGGGGGGCATAGATTTATTCTGCATTTCTACAGCTGGTTTAGGTTATTGCAGCACAATAACCTCCCTGTAGCTGTTCAAGAGCATTAAGGGGAGACTGGGAGACTTCACAAAGTAACAGTTTACTTACAGATGATCAAAGGAACTGCTTCAGGTGGTTGCAAATAAAAAATAGCGCAGATTTAAATCTGCGCTCTGCTAGAGACACTCTGTTAGCGTGGTAAGACTTTGTGTGTCTGTATAATATGTAATTTTTGAGGATATTTGGAATTTACAGAGTTGTGTACCGTTACTGTTTGTTAGAAGCCAAAGCACTATTGTGTGGCTAAAGCAAGGAAACATGTGAGAGGGGGGCTGGGAAGAAGGCGGGGGAGAGAGAGAGACAGATTTTAATTTTCTTGTTAATTGGTGTCCATTTAGAAGAACATACAGGGAAACATTACAGAGTTTTTTGGGGTTTTTGGGGGGTTTTTTGTTAGTGAACTCCAGGAAGCCATATTTTCAGCATTTTCTTTTAGAATTTTTTAACAAGTATAGGGGGTGAGGTTTTTAACCTAAAAGAGATGAGCCCAATCTTATTTTTATTACCCTCTATGTGATTTTCTTGGGGCTTACAGTTGTTTGAATTTGCACAGTTAGACTCCAAAGCCAACTGGACATTTGTTGTGTACTCCAGGTCCCTTCCACTTGCACTGGAGTGAGTACAGGAATTAGGTTTTCAAAAATTCAGATCCTTGCCTATTCAAATCTCTTTGACTGTCATATTGTTTATTTCTGTTGTTCCAAATTGACAAAATACTTGATTTGACAAATGTGCAAAGTGTACTGTTTCTTATCACAGTCTGAGCTGGTTGTTATAGTCAAACCTGAAGTAGAGTGTCATGCTTTAGATTTCTTTGCCTAAAAATATTTTAAATCTAATTTGGAAAATGTGGTATTCTTTCAAAGCTGTTCTCAGCCTGTTTCACTTGCCACTGTATACCTTAACTTTCCCACATGACTACATTTGAAATGAAAATAGGAAAGCTGAGATAGCAAAATAGGTGCTTCAAGTTAAGTGTCCCACTACAGAAGTAATTTAATTTCTTTAGAGATTGTCTTAAGCAGTGTTTGCCATATAAAATAGTTCAGTATTTCAGAAGTGCTAGAGTGTAATAGTAAGCTTGACTGGAGAACTGTCATAGCAAATACTGTTCATAAGTGAAAAAGTGAAGCAGATCTGCTAGCAAGATATCTCAGCTTCACTCTCCTTATCGGAGATAGTATTTGAGGAATATTACAATCTGGATTGCAAACAGCTTGGGAGTAGGTGGCATAAATTCATCACCAAGCAGTGTACTGTAACCTAAGGATAAAACAGAAGACATCTGGATAAGAAGCTATGTTAGGCTTTCTTTTTGTTAAAAATACTTCCATATTTCATGCCCTTCTGGAGCTTGGAAAATAAGGAGATAGCACAGATGTAGCACTGCTGCTCTCTAGGAGATGCTTGCTAGTAAACAACTGCAAGACTTCCATGTCCATTGTGATTAAGATGGGACTTTCAGGGAATCAGTTATAGTTGAGTATGAACCCGTTCACAGCAGTTGTTTTCTGAAGCATGTGCTTTAGATGGACTTGGTGTTAGGAGTGGTTGGAAACTTTCCTGGGACCGGCAAAGAATAAGTAGCATAAAGTTCAACATGAGTAAGGAATTCCAGGAGACCTATGGAGCTAATTTGGTTAAAAAAAAAAAAAAAGTAATGAAGGATGTTTTAAGCTAGAAAAGACTTCAATTTATCTCTGAGCCAAAAGACAACTTTGTCTTCAGTCACCTAGTTTTTGCCCACTTCCTTTTGCATATGCCAGTAAGAAACTTTGCATTACTGTAAATTTTTTCAGAGGTTTGTAAATATGTAAAATGAAGCTAAAATATGGAGTATTTGTGTACCAAAATGGTATAAAATGTGTAAGATAAATGCTCTGTTTAATAAGAAGCTGTAAATTAAATGCTGCTTTGACAAAGCGTGCATGGGGACATGGTAAATATTGTGTTTAGAGGTTGTATTAAGGACAGCAAATTATCTGTTATGTTGGAAAGCTTCATTCTAGTCTTAAGTACAAACCAAAAAATACCACTTCAAGCAAAAGTTGAGTATTGAGTTTCTTGGAAGACTTCATGTGCATAGTCATTGTTAAATATGTTCATAATAAAGTTTTATATCTTTATGTTGTATCTTGGTTTTATTTTGCTTCCACTGCATTATTACCTACCCTCTTCACTTCTTGTGTATTTTGTGTGTATTTAAACTTGGTTACTTGGATTGGATCTAGGAGGTTATGTTTGCACACAGTAACCAGGGAATTGTGGTGGTTTGTCTGGAGAGAGCCTGAGATTCTGAAACTTCATATAGTTTCCTAACCATAAGGAAATGCATCTCTCTCACACTTTCATAATTAGTCAACTGTCTTTCTCATTTATAAAGTGTTCACAAGACAGCACATTCATCAGCAGCATTATAGGTGATAGTATATCAGAATTCGTTGTCATTTGATCAGAAAAATAAGTATAGAGGTTTTACGACTTAACATACTAAATACATCAGTAAGCGACTTCTTAAGTAGAGCTTGCTAATACTTCCAGCACTAGCACTTCCAGAATGCAAAAAACTTGCCTTTTTTAAATGAAGACATTTATTTCTGTTACTCTTCTGTGTCTGAAGTGCAGTATAAGCAGATAAAACACGTGCATTCTTTGGGGACCTAAGTTACTTTCCCAGAGATGTTTGATTTTCTTGGAATATGTTCAAGTGAGTCGTCTGATGTGTGTCTAAACTATTCTGAAGAGAGGTAACAGAAGTGGAACTGCAAGAAATTCCAGCAGGCTTAACTTTAAACAGGTCACACAACTAGTTATGAATTTCAATAATTTAATGCTAACCAAGAGTACAAAGTGTGAAAGTTGGTGTCGTCTTTAATTTGGTTTTAAAAAAGAAATCTAGAGAACATGTTTACGCTGCAGCAGATTTCAGTATTAGCACCTTAAAGAGAAGTTCTTGAAGTTTTAAGACAGTGTGGCAACACTGGTACAATACTAGAACTACAAACACAAACCATGTAACAGCATGTTTTCACATTTGAAAAAAGTTACAGAAAAAGGTACATTAAAACTGGAAGTTGTTCAGTGCATTCATAGTTTGAGCAGAGATGGAATCAAGTGCCAAAGTAGAAAAGAACTGAAGTATGACTGATTCCAAGGCAATCATATTGCGAGTCCAAAGGCACTGACAATACAGTACATGGTCTTATTCTCCCATCTCACAGTGCAGGTTCCTACAAATACAAAACAAAGCTTTCAGAGACAGATGAAAGTTACAGTGACTTAATATGAAAAATACATGCTTCTGTGTGCATGCTTATCCATTGCTTAAGAACATTATGAATGAAGCTTTCACAACAGCTGAGCTTCCCATGTTACCATTTATGAGTCAGAATCACAGCAGTGTGGAAAAAAATACAGAATTGTGCTATTACTCCAAAACCACAGCACTCAAATCTAAAAAAAACAGAAACAACAACAACAAAAAAACCTATGCTGCTTAGTTTCAGGAGGATTAGTATTAAAGTTGCAAGCTGAAGCATCCAGCAGTGTTGCTCCTTACCATCACTGGAGTTGTCCCAGAAGCAAGAGCTTGCTGTATGTAGCCCAGCACCATTCTTCTGCATAATCACACAGGTCACTGTTTGTCAGTAGAAAAGCTTTTATTAATGTATTGCTATCACTGATATTTAGCTACATTTATGCTCACTATTGCACATTTATATACATACACATACAAACAGAAGTGCATGCTTGCAAGTACTTAAAGGACATGGTTCCTGCTCAACTGTCTTTTAAATTCCATCAGTGTGTCACTGTACCAGCTTTATCAGAAAACAAAGTTGAGCTCACCAATATACTTGAAAGGTTTCCCCAGCTTGGTGAGCTGGCTTAGAGATTGTTCCACCACACTTGTTGTCCACTGGTTCACCTTGCTGTGCTGGTAGGCATTGCCACCTATTGCACTTTCAATGGCCTGTGGGCAACAAACACAAGTTACACTGCTGTCTGTCTACAAAGATGCCATTAACTCATCTGAACACAGAACACTGAGGATGAGACAGCAGCACAGTAGTAGACCTAAATACTATTCAGGATTGTTGGAAGCGTTTTAAGATGCAACAGAGTTTGAAGCTGACACAAATTATAATCATTTTGTGCTATCTTTATTCTTCATGCATAATTCCTATCCCAATTTCCCAGAGTCTGAGTTATGATAAGGGTCTCACATTTAAACAGTCCTGAAAAAACACACAGAACGACAGTTCATTCACAGATATTAATCTGTAGAAATAACATATGGAGTTTTCAGCAGTCATTTTTGAGAACAAAGACCAAAATCAAAACAAAAGACTCATGTAATTTTTGCTGACTAATAGAGCAGAAGCCGTTAGTCAAGCAATCTCATTTACTTACGAGGAAAGCTTCTCCTTTAAGACACAAATAAAACTACATTAAAGTTGCACGTTTTATATCACTGCATTTTTCTGGCAGAAACTGTTCAAGAAGTAACTACAAAAGCAGTTCAGATTCAGATGAGACAGGACTGTGTAGCAGAGCATGCCCACCCCACTTATAGACATGCCTACCCTGTGAGAAGAACTGGACACAAAAAACAAACCTCTTCTTAGCAACAAGGATTAGTTTCCTAGCAACAAGAATTAGTTCAATCATGTCAAACTAACTTCATTCTGGAGGAAAAGCATCTCACAAGGACACAGTAACGTGCGTATGAAGATGATCTATATGAAATGTTGCATGTTAATGAAATATAACATCTGTCTGACAGCTTTTAACATACAGCATCCACCTAGAAATTCTAATTAGGGATACACTGCAACCAGAAAGAAATATATAAAGTTATTTTCATTATCTTTTTAAGTTGTAATAATACATGTCACAAATAAGGCTAGGTATCATCTCCACTTACACAACAGTTAAATAAATCCATGACTACCTATGCCTCAATAATAACCTAACTGTTGTGTAACAGAATTCCTGACAACAGATTTGCTTGAACGGTTTTTAGCACACAACATAGCATACTTCCATATCAAAGTGAGAGTGTTAGCTTACTTCTTTAATGATGTTACTGACTTCATCAACAACAAAAGATGTCTACAAAAAAAAAAAAAAGAAAAAAAGAGAGAACTTTAAATCATCAATGAGCACATTTCTATGTACACAGTTCAAACATTGTTAAGGAAATAAACTAGGAGCTTAATTTATGCTTGGCAGGTTTCTTGAGAGCCAGATGCAGAGTCTGGCATAGCTCGTCATTACTCAAGCTCCCTGAACCCAGTCAAGGGAACATTCTTGCGAAGTATTCAAAAGTAACAAACCAGCACAGACACTGAGTTAAAGCTCCCAAATTTTAATTTGAAAGCATCGCAAAATAATGCGTGCAGCATATCTGTCCACATATAAGCCCATTTTACAGTAAGCATTAATGTCTGTGGCTCACAAAGCAGGCTGCAAACAGCCTCAGCGTGCAGACACGGCTTACAGTTGAATGAAACCGACATCTTCAGAGCACTCATGCAGACCAAGCATCGATTCACAGCTCAAGGAGGAGCTGTCATGGTGGTTTCAGCTGGGGATATAAAGAAAGCTGCTGTTTGGAAACCAAAAGGGAAATCTACTCTTTGAAAGGGTAGATAACTGCAGAACAAGGGGAAATGGTTGTAAGTTAAGGGAGGGAAGATTCAGGTTAGATTTCAGGAGGAATTTCTTTACTATGAGAATGGTGAGGTGCTGGAACAGGCTGCCCAGAGAGGTTGTGGATGCCCCATCCCTGGAGGTGTTCAAGGCTAGGTTGGATGGGGCCCTGGGCAGCCTGGCCTTGCATTAAATAGGGAAGTTGGTGGCCTGCATGTGGCAGGGGGATTGGAGATTCATGATCCTTCAGGTCCCTTCCAACCCTGGGCATTCTGTGATTCCGTGATAGTGTCTGTATTTCCTACCGCCTTCAGCCCTCTCTCAAGCTCCAGCAGATAGAGGCAAAACGAGGGGCAACCCCACCTACACAGCACAGCATCCAGAACAAAGCAGCGCCTACCCGACACACCTCCATCCCTACAGCCGCTCTGCTATTGTCTGACACAGTCACAGCGGACTTGCTCAAGAACAATGCAGCGAGTTGTCACGCCGGCCTCCCGCAGGAGCAGCACTGCAAGCGCTGCGCACAGCAATGAGCCCCGCTCCCGCCCGACGCCGCCCAGCCCCAGCCCAGCCCCAGCCCAGCCCCAGGGGCTACCCAGCGGCCCGGGGCGTTCCGTGGGGTGAACGCGAGATCTTCCACCGACCCGCAGCCTCCGGAAAGAAGACGCCGGAGCAACCCTGACACCACCCTACCCGCGGACGTTACCTCCTCCCCCGCCTGGAAGTCGTCCATCGTCCCGCCGCGGCCCCTCACGCCGTAAAAACTGCCCCAGCACCGCCCCGCTCTCCACTACGCGCCTCGCACTGCGCATGCGCGGCCGCTTCCTGCTCCCCCTCGCTACGTTAGTCAGCTCTGCGTCTGCGCGTCTGGTGCCGGTCCGCGTTGGAGAGCCGCGCAGTCCGGCGCACTATTCTGGCTTGCGCGGCGCGTGTTGTGCGTCTCGGGCGCGTAGCAACGGGGAGAGCTGCGTCAGCCGCGGCTACCGGCTGGTTGGATTCTGCGCCCCCAAGGTGGCCTGGTTTCCATAGCGACCGCACGAGCTCTGGGCGGGGAGACTGCTGTGGTGTTCGTGCCCCTAGCGGGTGGTTGGCATTCAAATCTGATCCGAGAGATTGTATAGAATGACTCACAGAATCATAGAATGGCCTGGGTTGAAAAGGACCACAATGCTCATCTGGTTTCAACCCCCTGCTATGTGCAGGGTCACCAACCACCAGAGCAGGCTGCCCAGAGCCACGTCCAGCCTGGCCTTGAATGCCTGCGGGGAAGGGGCATCCACAGCCTCCTTGGGCAACCTGTTCCAGTGCGTCACCACCCTAAAGGTCCTGACCTGACAAAGGCATTCAGAGCCCTGGTTTTAGAAACAAGGCTTAAAAGAAGGCCTGAATGTGCTGTGTATGTTCAGGAACTGGGAAAAAAAACAAACAAACACAACACAAAACCAGGGAAGATTTAAGGGACGTTCTTATGGTTTTAATCTGATCTAATTATTTTTAGTGCATAAACAATGCACTAAACAGTTTAAAAGCTGTGCTTTTTTTTTTTCTTCTCAATTTTTAGGTTGGCGTTTGTGCAGTTGTTGTATGTTGCTCAGATTACCAATGATACCCATGAGAATAACTCTGGGGGCAAAGGCCTATGCTGTAGCAGGAATCATTAGCCCTGTGCATGCAGGTTAGGAGTTGCAGTCTTGAGGCCCTGAGGGCACAGGTGGGTTTCAGCTGCACTGATTGCTGCAGCCGTGCCCTCTGCTGCAGGCTTGTCTCTGGGGTGTGCCTCTGCTCCGTATCCCAAACCTATGTCAGACCCCATCTCCTGCTGCTTCTGACCAGCATCTCAGGATGAACCCAACCTCCTCCTCTCAGCCAGCAGAGATCCAGCAATGGGGATAGCGAAGCATGAAAGAGATTTCTAAGGTGGGTTGCAAAGTTCTCCTCAGTGGAAGTCTCCAAGAGCAATTTAGATAATTATTTTGCCCTGCTCTGGTAGGTGCTGGTTGATGCTTGCCTCAGGTGTAGCTTCATGGCTTTGTTCCTCCAGCCCGGCTTAATGAGCCTCCTACTGATGAGTGTAATTACACTCTGTGGTTTATTTTATTTAGTAAAAGTTTTGCTCAAAATGAAGGCTCAGATTATCCATGCGTTCTTTGTTTGGCTTAGCTCTGGGCCTTGCTAGCTGTTGCTGTCTCTTGAGCAATACAGTTGAACGTGATTAGGCTCCATGAGCGCAGGTGGAAATACTTGAACCTACTAAATGCCAGTAGTTTACAAGATTGCAAGTGGATTCATTCTGCCACATGAGTAGAATTGCAGTGCTTGATTTAATTTTAACTAAAACCAGTATTTCTTCTAACACTCAGGATGCTAAGTAGTGTTTCTGTAGTCCATATATGGTTTATCTGATAGAGTCAGTCTATAAAAAAGGGCTTTCCAGGCAAATTTCCAGACTTTTAAATAAATTAGATTCAATTTGAAACTTCAGTGCTTGTGCTTGTTTCTGTAATAGAGTGAACTGAGATATCTAATCCAAATAGAACTCTATCTTTTAACTTAAATCAGGTTTATTTATTGTAGGCAGATTGATTTGCTGTTTTTACTAGACCTGTAAAAACAAATTATTTTGATCTGTCTGCTTTTCTCTGTTTGCTTGTATTAATTGATTTGCCATTCAGAGCTGAGTATTTTGTTATGGAGAAAGAACTGCCTATGATACGAGCAGTGTTTTCTGTGTGAGCTCTGGGGACGTTGGGGTTAGTAGTATTTTCACATCTATGGTATCAGAAGAAGAAATTACGTGGAACTCAAAACTACTTCTCTTCCTGTGTGTGGCTTGGAGACCAAGTCTATTTTGCTGTTATCAGTCAACTTTTGTTTTCTGTTGTGCTAAGTCTCTCCTTGATGTTAGAAAGATGACTAACTTCTCTTTGATTAATTGTTGCTGGTGACAAAACTAGAGACTGCAAAAACTGTTACAACACTGGAACTCTTTGATTGCTTCTGTTTTGAGGATGCTCTTGTGTACGTACTTTAGTCTAATTTTGGTGGAGGGCAACTACTGATTTTCTTTCAGGGAAGATAAGTAAATAGCGGGAGTGCTACTCATCTCTTAAAGCAGTTTGCTTCCACACGTCTTCCTTTGAAAAGGTAAGGACAGCTTTTCTTTTTTATAACTGTTCTATATGATGCTCCATAAAGGAATGCATTTTTGCTTACTGAGATGGCATTGTTTTGACTGTAAAGGCTTTGTGGGAATGCCACAATTGTAACCTAAAATACCATCTTTTTACATTAGCTGTTGAGGTGGGATTATTAAAATTACAAGACATAGGTCTGGTAATATATATGTATTGTATGCACCTTACAAGTTAATAGTTTAATATAAGGATGTGAAAATTGAACTGTTGTATGGCTATATGAAATAACACTTGAAATGGTCTTGATTAAGAATAAATGCATGGTATCTACAAAACATAAAACAGCAGCATGTTCCAGTAACTTTTGTGATGACAATCTTTATTCCAAACCTCTTCAATCTGTGTCTTAGCTACAGGTGTAAGACATCTACTTTTGGGTAAATTAACAAAATTATCCAACTATCTCAGGTCAGTGAAGCCTTTAGCTTCAGAAGATCATTTTAACTGTACTTATTTAGTTATCTTTATTTCACTAATGCTGAAGAATCTGAAGGAAGATCAATAATACATCAATACAAAATTGCTTTGAGAGAAAGTGGCTTGCTAGGTCAAGTATTTGTAAGCTTAAAATTGTATAAAATACACTACTTCTTGCAAACTGTAACTAGTGTTGTGTAGGCCTTTTGATTATGTTTCAGCTGTGCACTATTTTATCTTGATTTTAAAGAAAAAAGGCAAGGTCTTCTGAGATTACACTGTATGCATGCATGCCACCTTCTCCTAAGATGTGACCGTGTTGGTTCTCTGATCTCCTTTAGGGTAGACTGTCACACTTTTATCAGAAAGCTGTCCTACAGTCTGCCTGCTGCTAGATTTTCTTAAGTATGTTATTTAAAATAATGTGTGGGGAAAAAATGTATGAGCTTTATGCTGAGGAGGGAGAAGTATCATGCTATTTACTCACCAGGTTGCTGTTACTTTTGGTTTTACGCAGAAGGTGCTTGGTTTTGTGAGCTTGGCTGACTGTGTAAGATGGATAGATTTGATGGGTAAATATGAAAGTAGAGCATCGGTGGAGGTTTTAAGTTGTTTTTTCCTGTAATGACCCTCCTTGCGTGATAAATGCAACATGAATGCTATTAAAAAAACAAATGTAGTGCAAACAGCTTCAGTGTTAGAAAAGCTCTTCTTTTACAGTGGTGGTGAGCTTCTCAGTCCACCTTGAATGCTTCCTGGAAATGTTTAAGGACTCAAATCTGTTGCGAGGCACAAGAATAATTCTGTTCAGAAGGGCTCCGTTAATACAGGAGGTTTTAAATTATCTTTTTAAGTGCAAAAAATCTGATGGAAAGTAATGGGTACCTGAGGTTAAATCTTCCCGAAGATTAAAAAAATAATTGCAGTACTTGCAGTACTCCTGGTTCTACGCTGGATTTCATCTTTATTCTGTATAGCACATGATGATCTTGCCTAGCAGTGAGAGCCAGGGAGGCTTTTTGTCTGCACAGTGCTGTTAGACACAGGGCCCCTGGCACTTCTCTGCAGTACATCTGTTCTGCTTTTTGGTGTCAGAAGATGATCCTAGCCCCTTATGGTTCTCTGCTGCTGGCAGGCGATTCAGTGCTTAAAAGATCTATCACTGTGAATGGAATTTGAAGATAGACCAGCTGGTGTGAGAGATTGATGGTTGCAGTATCACCGATGGACTGAGGTCGTAAGTCTTTTTGAGGAATCTTGCTGTTCCTCCTGGAGGGCGTAGCTGTGGGAATGACAGTGTGCTAAGAAGGAAGACTCCAAACTATTTCTTCCCTTGTGCCATTTAGATTTGCAGAGGCTTGAGTAGCTGAAAATACAGCTTTTCAAGAAATATGAAAGATTCTGTGTGCCCTTAATTATTTCTATAGTTTTTCTTGTAAAGATGTCATTTGAAATCCATTTCCCAGTATAGACTCAAAATATGGAAGGCTTTCTCCTTTTCTGTGGGGAAGGAGTTGGTCCTTTATTAAAGAAGGGATACCAAGCAGTGACTAATGCTGTCTTTCTTAAAAGCAGATGTTGCTCCTTGTAACTGATGCACACTGGGGTGTTGTTAGGAGCTCAGCAAGACACTTCTGTATTTTCATTAAGATCACTGGAGCAGTTTTGTTTGATGTTCCCCCTATCAATGGCGGTCATGAATTTGCATGCTTATTCTGATGTTTCAGCAGGGTATTCTGATGACAGTGTAAATACGCCAGCCTAAGGGCTTTCTATAAACGTCCAGGAATTCCAGTTTTTGGATGTTCTAATGGCTGTTTCACTATCCCATATATAACACAGAGCTCCCTGAGTTTGTACTGATTGCTCTTTCAGGTTGTGTTGACTTAAACAGCACCAAAGACTCTGAGCATCAGTCAGTCAATCCTTGGTCATATCCTTGAGGAGAAAGATTAAAGCAGGTGAGGGACCTTTGAGCAGGGACCTTTGAAAACAGCATGTTGAAAAATTGCTTTTTAGGTTTGAACTGAGTAATATCCTGTGAAATTGCACTTGCTGAGGAAATAAAACATGATTATGCCTATCTCTGTCTCTTTTGTTTCCACAGGAAGCCAGTCTATTTTTCTTTTTTTAACTCTTCTGTGAAATGCTTTGTCCTCTTGGTGTCTGTTGAAGAGTGTTATGAAAAAAAAAATATAAAACAATGGAACGCGTGCTGTTTATGTTTAGAGGTTAGTACCTGCATTTTTTGCTTGTGTGACATTCTGTAGTTCAGTTGTGGCAAGCTGTATGTCAACTAATTCCCTGTGACTTCAGAAATTCATTGTCACTCATACAGCTGAAGGTTTTTCTTTTAACCTGAACACTCTCGTAATAGCTTAAAACAATGTTCCATTTGGTTGGATTCTCAGCTGGGATGTGTCAGTGAAATATCTCTAACTGCTTCAGTGAGGTTTTCCCCTTCTGCCCTAATGGAAATTCTGAGTGTATTTAGTTCACATGATGTTGGAAACACTTGACCTGTTTTCACATATGCATCTTTAGTACTTGGTGTTTTGTAAGTGGAACGCACTTACATTTGCTATAATAAGCACTACACAGTAATATTAAAGCTGAATATAACATGTTAGCTACATTGGATTCAAGAATAACTTTCTACTTTGCTACATTAAAATTTTGTTATATTTAGGTAGGAGTTTTACAGAAATGAAGATCAAAGAATATATCCAAAATACATTTGTGAATCTGTTTTAATTTTTATAGCTCTCATATATTTGTACAGTTATATCATGTTTGGTGCAAAAATGGTTAGTACACTGAGCTGCAAGTAATACGTGTCTTAACATTCTGGTGTTCGTGTGTATTAACAAAGATAATGTCATTATTGTGTGAAAAATGTCTTATCTGGGCTTAACAGATGTCAGGTTATTGATAGAAGTGACTCTTAAAGGATCTTTCCCATCTTTCTTATAGGCTTGTGTTAATTTGTCTGCTCAGTAAGATGAGATTAGAAAGGAGGATTCATCTCAACCAGTATAACTCGTCCTGTCATGGGACCTGTGCTAGAAACTGACTTGGGCTTCTTTACTGGTTGTTTTGCGCTGTCTGAAAAACATGGAGCTTCATTGCAGAGTGTGTTATGTTGAGGCTTTCTGAAGAATGAGGCTGTCTTAAAATCTCTTTTGTATCTGAATTTGTGCATGAAAGGTCTTGAGTATAGCAAAATGTGTTCTCCAGAATGTTCGCTCATACTATTGAAATCACTTAAAGAAGTGAGGAGAAGGGATAATAAAACATTATTTTTCTCTCTAGATCCTGAAGTTCCAAATCTATAAGACCAAGTGAAGCTAACCATTCTCCCAGATCCTTTATGCTGGCTATCAGTGAATTCTCCCTCCACCTGGTGGCAGTTGAAGCCATACCTGGGATCTCGCTGAAAGCTCTCATCCCTTTTGGAACCACTCTGCAAAGAGCAAGCTCTTTGATGTGAAAAAGCCAAGGCTGCTGTGACCTTGCTTGTTCATATTCCCTTGTTCATATTCCCTGGATAGCAGAGACACTTAAATGATGCCTTGTGTGAAGACAGACGCAGTTATTTTTTTCTTCAAGAGCGTGACGCAGCAAAACCTATCACCAATGAAGTAAGAAGCCAGGCAACACTTGATAAACACTCAGATCTCTGAAGAGCCCCATTATATTCTCTAACGTAGTAGCCATTGTTCTGGATGTGGTAGACCAGTAAGTCAGCAGTTGTGAAATTTGGGGAAAATGGCCTGTGAGTTTAATCTAAACTTCCTTAAGGAATTGGAGCGAGAGGCTGTTCTGGAAGTCCTGTACCGTGACCAGATGGTGAGAAAAACAGAGGAAGAAAGAGTAAGGTACTTGCCTTTCCTCTTTTTGTGTATTGCTGCTCTTTTTCTTTCTCAGGAGTGCTTTTCTTCTTCTTTGCTGTCATTTCCCACGTATTCCTCCTTTTGTTTCTTATTAGCTAGTAAGTTTTAATTTTGTGGGAGAACCAGGAGTTAACTGGAACCTCTTGGATTTACCACACTATTGACTACTTTAAAGATGAGCAAATGCTGTTCAGGGAATAATCTACTTAGTGAACTTTACTTAACATTCATAGGCAGTTCAGCTGGTGCCTCTATTTCTTCCCCAATGAAGGCTTTATGACATTCTTATTATCACGTTCCTACGTATGCCTGTATAGCCCTGGTAATGCAGAACACATTCAGATCTATGGCTGGCTAATTTAACCTCTGTTGAGCTAGGACTGAAGTTAAAGATTGTCAGGTACCTCCTTACTGTGCTGAATCCATCTCTGCTCCTTCTCATATATAACAGATAACAAGAGCACTGCGCTTTCTCAGTGGATGTCGGTAGGTGTCATTGGTTAGAAAAAGGATTCTGTATAATGATTTTATGCTAACAAGTATCCCAGTTGTAGAGGATAAAGGATAATCCTTCAGTAGTTCATTTGCTTTGTATTAGGGATTGTGTAAGGATTTTCTTGCAGCTTGTACCTTGCTTTGCCACATTGCTTCCTTGTGTAAAACGTGATGTTTGTATGGCTAAGTTAGAAGGTTTTAGTCTCTTAATAAATTATAGGCACATAATTGTTTACTCTGAACAAAGTTTAAGTATACCTGAACTTGTTAAATAATTATGAAAAGTAAGTAAAGGGTTATTAAAAATCTGAATTGATTAGAAAGTCATTGACAGCTATTGGCGATGTGGCTAACAATGGAAAACAGGTCTTGTCTCTTGTTGCTTGTTATGGAAACAAGGTTAATGGAAGGGGGGAGGTTTAGATGTTTAGGTCAGATTTGGTTTTTGTTTGACCTTTCAGGAGATGCATTTGTTACTATTATTTAATAGAAGATTTGATTCTTCTAATCAAGTAATCTTAATATATTAACAACTGTTGTCATAGACGTTGTGCTCCCTGGAAGCATTCAAGGCCAGGCTGGATGTGGCTCTGGGCAGCCTGGTCTAGAGGTTGGTGACCCTGCACAAAGCAGGGGGGTTGAAACTAGATGAGCATTGTGGTCCTTTTCAACCCAGGCCATTCTATAATTCTCTGATCATCAAAAGGAAGCACAGTTCAGATCAAATTTTTGTATGTGAGCATGTGATCACTTGTACACGTAACTTCAGTGCCCTGTCCTGAGCGTGTAAAGTTGATGTGAACAGAACCCTGTTTATATTAGACTGTTATTCTATCTGCAGCTTTGTGGCTGTATGTATAGTGAAAAAATGCAGAGAATCACACAGAATCACAGAGTGCACTGTGTGTATGGATGCCTTCAGACAGAGCTCGCAATAAAGTCACACTTAAGGATGCATCTCCGACTGGCAGTGGCATTGTGCAACTAGGTCATCATCAGCTTGTAACTTGCACTGTTGCTTTTTTTTCCCTTCTTTCCTTTTTGACCTGTATGATTAGGAAACTGAAAATGCAGCTGCACCAGCTTCGATGGAAAGGGGCAAGAAATGTAAGGCAGGAATACCGAGAGAGGTCTTGTGCTCGCTGCCAGAAATCCCTTGGATTGCTGCTGAACAGAGGTGCGGTGTGCAATGGGTGCAGTCATCGAGTGTGCTCTGAGTGCCGCGTCTGCCTGAATCCCTCCCTTTGGAAATGCACCGTTTGTTATGCTCATGGGTAAGGAATGTTAACGGTTTGGGGAAGTTGTTGATTACACTGGTTTGGTTTACATTGGCTTTCAATACTGGATGCTCACTGTTTTTGTGTGTTTATTGCTTTAAACAGATAATAAACCAAAGCCTTTGGCAGAAAGAATGAATGTATTGGGTGAGGACAGAAGGAGTTGATTGGAATGTTGCCCTGTACTTCATGGAGTCAGAAGTCCTTTTCTGCATTTAGCAAAATGCATTTTCAAAGTAGGCCAGAGGTGGCGTCATCTCTCTTGCAAAGATGTTAATTGCAAAAAGCGGAACAGTCTTAGTATCTAAACTCTAGATGGCACTCTAGTCAATAGATGTCCCCGAGTCGATACTGAAGTGGTGCGTCAGACTGGGTTCCGCGTAGTATAGCAAATTTCTTGACGTTCTTAATCATTATTATTTTTCTTTTTCTTTATTTTTTTATTTTTTGCCTCTTACTACTGAGATGAGGAACCTGGATGAATGAGTAGTGTGAAATCATGTTTTGTATGTATTTAACATCATTAACAACTTCTGTATTTTATCAGGAACTGCTTAAACACGGTCAGAACAGAGATCCAGGTTTGGTTACACTGAAATTGTTATTTACTTATTTTGCTCTGTCACCTTGGTTTTGTTTTCCTGAAAAAGGGAAATAATCTTTTTTTTTTTTTTACAGTATTGGTACAATTTTTATATCAAAACATTTCCTCACAGTCCCTTCTATTAATCAGAATCTTCCTAAATCAAATGGTTTAGATATATTTTCACCCTGGATTGAAAAATAAAGTAATCTCTAAGTAAAGAGAGAGTCTTGAAAGAGAGTCAACAGATCTGCTGGTTGACACAAATCCCTGTATGAAGGGTGAGCATTTGGGTGAAATTTTACTATATGCCAACGCAAGACTAATGTACCACCTCACTCCCTCTTGAGATATCAAAATGAGGTTTAAATAATGCCTGAGAAATGTGAGAGAAGGTATTAGTCATAAACTGAATTAATTTCTAATTGCAATTTAAAGTCATTTTCTGTGTTCTGGAAGAGACTATAAACTATCACTGAAATGGTGCTTTCTGAATCCTCAGTTTATTTTGCAATTTACACACAAGATAGATAAATCAACCCCTCCTGTATTTAGTACAAAACAGTTGCTCAATTTTGATGTTTCACTGTCTGGGCTTAATGCTATGCATGCTAAAAAATAGAGGCTTACAAACAACTGTATGTATCCCTGTCCAGATTTGTCCCCCTTCCCCGCTTTTTCTTTTTATTTAAATTAGTTTCCAGCTATTTGGTGGTTATATAGTGGAAATCCCCTCTAGATAGCAGTTAATTACCAAAGTGCCTTGTTATAGTACTGTGCATCCTTAATTTTTTCATAAGTTTGTCCCAATATTTAATGGTCAGAATGGGAAAGTGTTGCCTAAATGGATTAAAATATATTCTGACTTTTTATGAGGAAGTTTTATATTTTGTCTTGTTGATACAGAGGGATTCTACTGTGAATTTTGCATTATAGTAAAAAAAAAATAATAATAAAATACAGAATTTACATTCCATCTTATTTAATCATGGTGCAGAGTTCATTCAAACGGTCTCCTTCAGTTACCTCCAGTGAGCCTTGCATCAAGGCTGCAAATCTTAGAGAACACAGCTGTGTTTTAAGTACTAGTCAGCACCTTCTGCTTATTCTGGTGAGAGGAAGAATGATGGCTAGGAAATGGAAGTGCTGATTTTCAAATCCTGAGTGGCCATAATTTTAAATCTTGGGTACCACAAGAGTAATAAGTAAAGTAATATAAGAGTTCAGCAGCTTCAAAAATGATGTATCTCATAGAAGTGACTGAAAATGCCAAGTCAGGTAGTGCTTGCACTGGGGTCAAGAGGGCTGAATCCGTGCTGTGCCACCTTCCTTCTACATGTACCTAGAGAGTACAGTATGGTGTGGAAAATGGTTGATCCAGGGATTTTGTTTCCTGGCTTTCATGAATGTCAGTGTAGCTCTTGTGTTTAGAGATTCATGCTTTTCTACACAGACAAGCCTCTACATCCATTTACTGTCTTTATACTGGCTGCCAGTTTCAAGGAAGTTTGGCAGAGTGGATGGTAATATAGATCTTAATTTCAAAGAAGGAAAATTAACTACTGGGTAGAAAATAAAATTCACCAATGCTTGCTGAGGAAACTTTTTCAGTGGAGCTTCATAATATACATCCCAAAATCCACATGGACCTGAGGTGTATGGTATGTCCTAACATCTTGAAAGACATTTAGATGAGAATTTGTATCCAGAGGATTCTCAGTTAAATTTTTTTTTTTTACCTTTTTAATAATGGATGGGTTCATATTGCAGACTTTGTCTAATTTAGTTGGAAACTACAAAATACAGGAATCAAATCTTCTGAAATTCTGCTCTTGACAGCTATTTTTATCTGACACAATTTTATATACATTAATCATTACCTTTCTAATACTGTGATCCACATACCTGTGAATCACACTGCCGTCACTGATATTAGTCTCCTCAAAATGAAGAGAAATGAGCCACAAATCCCATCGTTCCATTACAGAAGTGAAGAAAGACTGTTTTCTCTCCTGCTTCAGGATTGTTGAATTCGGTGCGTACTTCCCAGTAACTATCCCAAGTTGTGCTCAGCAGCATATCCTGTCATAGATCCTTTTTCCCCATCTTACAAGGCTGTACAAGTGCCTGCAGCTGTATTGCATGTAGTTTGTATAAGCTGGAATGGACCTAGGATCCCCAGCTTCAGAGCAGAATTGATTGCTTTAGGTGAGTTGTTCTACAAAGCAAAAATGAGGAGAATAAGAAAGAAAAATCATTACTTTGCAAATCCACAGCAAAGTCAGTCGCTGTGAGCAGTCATGAAGCCTTAGTTTTCTGGTAGGATTAAGAAGGACTGCTGAATTGCTTAAGTGGTTATTAAACAGTTAAAGAAATGCACTTTTTGGAAAATGTTGCTTCAAATGTCTTTTTCTTGTTTTTCAGAGATGTGAAAGTAAAGGCTGGTGAATGGTTCTTTGAGGAACGAGCAAAGAAATATCCAGATGAAGGTAACCACTAGAACAAGCCATGCTGTGCAATCTGTAGTCCTCATCTAAGTGGAACACAGAATGTAGGCTACCACTGTATTTACTCCTTCAGACGTTTGGTGGACGATCTCTCAAGCATTATCTTGCCTTGTTTGTCTATACGCTACATGAAGCATAAGCACAAGCTAGCAGGAAATGCTGGAGAGTACAATTTATTTTGTGTGAGTAATGAAAATAAGAAGATTATCAACCATACCAATTTGAATTGATGAGCACATAAGGCTACTAAGAAATACAATGACACATGAAATAAATCTGAACCTGTTAAAGTCTGTGTGCAGGAAAGAAATGATCTTGCATCCATTGTTTAAGTTAGATCTTTGATTATTTTCACTAAGTTCCATTCCATCATTCCTTGAAAGTTTGAAATAAAGAAAAATGTGTAGCTATAAACGAACGAAGGGCTGAAAGCACCAGCTGTTTCTTTACTTTCAGCCAGCTGTGCAATTGCCTTCTGTTCAGTCTTTTCAGTGTGATTAAAAATACAAAGCATTAAAAGAAATTACAGAGGATGTGGATGGATTGCCCTGTGGCAAATGTGATTCACAAACCAAGGGGCTGTTGGTCTTCATTTTTCACCCACAGTGACTAATAAGGTGGAAAGGATTTCCTTCGTCTTTCCTTGAAGCTCCTCTTGAGATGTGTTGGTGTTTCCCTTTGTGCCTGACTGTTCTTTCATATTACAGTTTCTTTTCCAGTATTGTATCTTATCTAGGTTATCCCTACCTAGATAAGAATAGCTGGTAAAAAGGAAAGTGCTGGACCTTGAATATCTGTTGCTAGACCTGATTTGAAAGAAATGGATAAATGGAAGAATATTATCAGGCAAATTTTGAGTAGTATTCACCAAAGAGCAGTTTTGGGAAATTGATCTGTGGTGTCTGCTAAGACAATTAAAACAAACAAAAAATTGATTCCATTTTAGCTAAGACAATTTCCGATTTTAAAGTATTGGTTGACCAGTTGTTTAAAGCACAGTTGTATTCTGTGTCCATTACTAATAATTTTCCCTCATATTCTCTTCAGAAAGTCTGTAGTTGGTAATTTTATCAGTTGGGAAATCGTATATTTTCCTCAGAAATAAACCTGACTTTGCAAGATACTGAATGTCCTCACCTTGCACCGTCAGAGCTTTGTGGGTGCTTTGAAGCATTTTGCTTAGTTAGCCTAACAATGATGTTGTTGAAGTTACAAAATTCTAAGGACGTGCACGAAGTGAGCCTGTAGGGCATAGTAAATTTTGTTTGCTTCCTTTGATTAGACCAGCTGCTGTAGTGAAACGAGTTAACAAATGGAAAAGTTTCCAACAGCTGCTTAGTTATGTAACCTTCAAGCCTTGAGAGACAGTGCCCCCTTTTGGTTGGATGGTTAAACACTAGTGGAGCATTCTCTATCAACTGAGTTTGTTACAGTGAATTTCTCAGTGAATGTTGCAGAATAATGTATATATATATAAAAAAAAAAAGTTGTATCTGGACTGCTTTCTATTAATTTTGTGTAACTTTTACCTAAAAATCATGTTTTTGTGAAAGTGATAGATTGCTTTCACTGATCAGTCAGTTAAAAATCTAAGGAATCATTTGATGTTACAATGAATCCAGATACTACTTATTAATAATAGAGCATTAAATCTGGAGTTCTGATTGAAATTTGTAACATCAGTAAGTTGGTTATTGTTCCTACCACCACCAGAATGTGTTACTTACCTGTGAGGAATGTAATTAACTATGTTTTCAGCAAAGCGTGGGTTGCATGATACTGTTCTGCATTGCTATTATTAGGAATGATTAACGATTAAAACCACTCCAGCAGTGGTCGTTGCATGCATTTAGCCATTCTTTCTGTTTATGATTGCTCAGGAGCAAACTGCATTTCTGCGAGCCTTCACTGTTTGTGCCTGGTGGAGCTCTTGCTCCTTGCTGTTCTTAACATTATGGGGCTGCTTATCTGAGGAATGTGACATGGTTGCTATTTCCCCATGAGGGGAAAAGGCTTTTGTCATCCAGTTCTGTAGTAGGAAGGGTGAAAGGAATTATCCTAAGATGGAAGAAATTGTAGGAACCACATGCCTACTCTTGCAATATATCTTCAGCTTTTACCTGATGCTTGCATGCTATGGTTTAGTTATGTTTTCATGCACCATCAACCTCCTTTGGAGGTTGAGGACGCTTGGCGAGTTGAAGATGCCCATTGGCATCCTTATGTGATTGTCCTCAGGGTTTGCAAAGAGCACCTCTGAGTGCATCACCTGAAAAAGGAGAAAAGCTGAAATTGCAATAAAATTTGTGTTATAGAAGAGATTTGTGTGTTGCCTTGGGCATATGTTGATTTATGAGATGGGGATTGATTGAATTGTGTACATTTGCATGTACACAAACTCCTGTAAATACAGGCTATTTTCTGAAAATAAACTGACTTATAGAAAGTGCAATGTGGGCATTAATAACTGCAGATGTTGCTAAGTGACTTTTTTTTCTCCTTCACAGGCAGGCATGAAACAGCTGGTGCAAAGCTCTTGAAATCTTATCAGAAACTGAGGTAATACTCATGAAAGGAGAAATGTTCTGAGGGCACTAAGACTTTGCATAGGAAATAGAGCTGATTTATAACACGATATCACTTTTTTTTTTTAAATTATTATAAAGAACAAATTTGAAGTACAAATGATAAAAATATAGGGAAAAAAAAAAATGCACAGTCTTATCTCTTGGCAAGCCATAGGAAGAGTCTCAAGTTCAGAAAAAGAGTACTGTTTTTAGAGTATTAGTTTCTTATTGATTGGAAATGAAGGAATGTGTAGGATTTTTGTTAGATCTTATCTTTTGTGTACTTATTTTCCTTGTTGCTCAGATTTACCCACTTCAGTAATTTTTGCCTCTCATCTTTTAGATATTAAAGCAATAATGTTTATATTTGCTCAATGGCAGATTTTGCTACTTTGATAGCTTTACGATGAATATGAGACAAGAAGCTCTATATTCAGAATAGTGCATCCCTTCTACTTTATACTAAATAATCCATTGATGGTTTGAGGCCTAAGCATAAGCATGCTCAAATTATCATTAGTGATATATAATGGAATAACAATCTAGTTTAAATGGTACTGTAGAAAACAAACCCTATTCTTTTTAAATTGTTGTTATTTTTAAGCAAGATACAAAGAGGTTACATCAATTTTATGAGAACTATCTGGCAAAGCATAGATGCGTGAGACAGAAACTTATAGATAGCTGTCTATGAGCCTGACCAGGGCTGCATAAGGACTTGCTTTTGCCTAGATACAGCATGTGTAAAAGGGAATCGAAAGGAAGTTTGCTGGCTGCCCTTCGAGTCTGTGATTGTGCTGTGAGAACAGTCTGGAGTCAGATTTAAGTATTTATTTATTTACAGACCAGGGCTATTTACAACAGATGAAATGGCTGTAGGCCTCAAACAGCCCAGGACACAGGCAAGGAAGTATCCTAGTATTGTAAATAAAGATAACTGCTTTCTGAAAACATATCTGAAAGAAAAACGGGGTGTGTAGCACAGGAATTGCATTTCAATGCTTGGAACTCAGATTGCAGTGCTGCTAGCCAAAAAGAAGTCTAGAAAATCTATCCTGAATTGTATGTATATTTCCTATGGTATTAAGTTGACAATTCTGCCTAGAACAGCTCACCACTGAGGAGAAAGAAAGGCAGACTTAATTCAGTCTTTCTTTGTAAGAATTCTTATAAAGTCTTTCTTTATAAATTCTTATTTAAAAAAAAAAAAAAAGCCTGTCATGCAGTGGAACCTATATCTTCAGATTTTACAGGAAAGGCAGATAATAAAGATACTGAGCATGTATTTAGCTTACTTCTCAATGCATTAGCATGAGATATTAATTTTTGCACTGTTTTTTGTCTCTTAACTTTCTAGTAAAATTTCTGTTGTACCTCCAACTCCACCTCCTTACACTGAATCCACAGCAGGAAGTAATGCTAAGGTAAACATACACATGTGCAAAATATACATAGATATTCGTGCACCTCTCATGCTTCCATTCATATGTAATGACCAGCTAAAGAAATGCAGTAAGCAGTGATAAAGGCTGTAACATCATACTGCCATGTAAATGTTCTCTTATGTTGTTTGTTTTTTTTCCCCCTCATGCTGCATTGGTAGTAGAAGAAAGGTTCCAGTCTATCATACGAGATGTTTTCAATTCAATTCCAGTTTTTGAGGGAAGTGATTAACCTCCTCTGCTTCATGTTTGCATCTGGAGTACTGTATCTGAGTTTTGGGTACTTCACTGAAGAAAAGATGTTGATCAACTGGGAACATGGTTAGTAGGGAGGCACCAAGAAAGCTCAAGCACTTGTCCTGTAGGCAAAAGCTGCTGGACCAGAGCTTGTTCAGCCTGGGGCAGATATGGCTGTAGTGGATCCTGCAGTGGTCTCTTTATCACCTGTTGGGGGTTAGCAGGTAACAAAGCTGAGCTTTTCTCAGCAGTACATGGCAGCAGGAGGAAACGTGTAACAGCAAATAGTTTGTGCTTGTTTTCTTACAGTTGAACTTTTCCATTTGCAGGAACTTGGACAGTCTAAAAGTTTTAATAAATCTGTGGAAAACTTGTTTTTGTCTCTCACAACACACATAAAGAGTAAGTAGCTTTCACTGCTTTGTATTCTAGGATAACGTTGTTGAGCATTTCAATTTTTTTGTCCAAATTGTTGGCCATGAGACAGTTACAAACCAAAGGATATGGACTACTTGCCTTTTGCCAAGAGTGAGCCAATCAGAAAAATAAAGCACTAAGCTATGTTACCAACCAAGAATGATTTCTTGTAAAGATGTAAGAAGACTGCATAAAGTTATTTTTAAGTTTACTGGATGTTCAAACCTTTAACTCCATTCATATATGCTGCTTGCTGTTCTTTAGGGTGCAGACTATGTACGTACATCTATGCAATGGGGGCAGCCTGTCTTTGTGATGAAGATATTAATGGCATCAATGACCAGAGGAAAAATACCTCTGAGTTTTGTGGAGATTACAGGAGCTTGCAGATTTGCATGTGTTTGAATTGACCTTAGTATTTTCCACTAACTTCATTTTTGACAACTCAAATATAAGATTAGATCTCAATAAATTTGGCTTTAGTATCTTTCTACTTTTCCTCCTAACTCTTATCTTAGCTGTTGTGTGCCATTTCCTCTTCCATCCATCAAAAAGGCCTGTTCTGTTTTCCATAACTACACAAATTTGATGTTGTATCTATGTGAATACATACTCAAGCTATGCAAGATACAGTATCTTTCTCCTGAACAAAAGTTTGGCTCAGGGTGCAATGGGATGCTTTGTCACTGGAAGCGTGTGGCTAAGGCAGCACTAAGTTGAATAAATAAATGTATCCTGCTTTCTGTTAGTTTACAGCCTGTTTGTATCCCACAGTTACTGTACTGCAATCCCAAACCCTATCAGGACCACAGCAAGTTATTTTAATAGTTCACTTCTACAGAAGGGAAGGTCCTGCGCCCCCACATCTTCCATCTGTTGTGTATCTGACCTCGTGCTGCTGTTGCTTAACCTGAATTAGCCAGTGTTTCTGGACCTTTCTGAAAGCCAATTAAAAGAGCAGACCACTAACCTAGACAAAATGAGTACTTCTCTGCTGTTTTATTGAGTTAAATTGTCTGAAGTTAGGGTTTATAAGATGGAGCCCACGCAACAGAGGGTGCCAGACCCATGAGGCCAGGGGTCAGGGAGGGAAGAGCAGCAGTTACAGAGTGGGGGGTGGCAGCAGGTTGTGAGGTCAGCTCAGCTGTATCTGAAACCCTGAAACTCAATTGATGTCATCTTCAGTTAGGGTAAGATCCTTTTAATTTGTGAGAAAATAACAGGCTGTTACAGTCACCGAAGTCAATAATTAGAGTTTCTGTATGTTTTAATAGAGGGAAGGACTTGGGCTCTCTGACTGAAGAAGCTAGCTTTTTCAGACAGTGTGGCACTCAGTAAAACCTGATACTGTGCTCATAAATGCTTTCAGTTACTTGTGTCTAAAATTAGCTCTCTCTATCATACTTAGATAGAAATGTCTTGGATTGCAGAGGTTTTTATACACCTAGCTCTTATGTATTGCTGTAAATAAACCTGGAGAACTTAGTTCTGAATCTGCCTCTGATTCTGTCACTGTAGCCAATGTTTGTGTATGTCTGAGAGCAATATGAACAAAGGATTAGCATGTGCAGCTCAATGCCTCTGCTGCACAGTCTGCTCATGATGACGTTACTTCCCTGTTCTGGCATGGTTTGGCAGTAACAGAAGATTATAATCTAATGATTGATGCTGGTTGTGGTTTTACTTGCAGTGCAAAAGTGGGTACAAATGCCAAAGGAGAAACAGACCTGAAAAATAAAGATGCTTTTCTTTCCCCCTGATAACCTGTTTCTTAACATGTTCATTTTAAGACAGTGTGAGGAAAGCTTTTGTTCGACTACTTAGATTGTATTTCCCCTTGAATCTCTCACTCCAGTCTCTTTTATGTCTCTGTTCCCATGTGTATCAAAAAACCTGATTTCACTTACAGTTGGGGATGACTTCATTGAGCTTACTTATAAATACAGCACATGATCCCTTAATGGTGCACGGAGTACGATAAATATCTGACAACTAATTGCTGCTAAGAACAAAATAATCCAAAGTGGCTTTAAAAATCTCACTTAAGAGTGCCATTATTTTTGAGTAGATATTGACATACTGTTTGCTGTCTGAGATTCCTCCTCAGAGATTTGTGCTATGGGAGGAACACTTATTTCTTGGGAATGAAGTAGACGTGATAGCTGTGTCATGTACCACTTCAAAGTTATTAATTCTTCATGAGAAACTAGCTAGGATTTATGACAAAGTGTCTGCAGCTATGCCTACTGATTTTAATCTCCGGAAAGTACTAATGACTGCTGCCCTTCCCTGTAAATGAAGTTCTGACTATACTCTGAGGAATAAGAAACAAAAAGCAGTGCACTAAACGTCCAATTGTCCCGTAGATTTATTTGACAATACAGTAGATGTAGTTGAATTAGCACTTATAAGTATTTCTATTGAAGTCAACAAGGACTACTTCTCATCTTGAGAAGTATATGTGATTTGGGATCAGAGTATGTAATCTCTGTTCATGTTTTGAACAAATTTCTAAATATTTTTCAGTGCCTCTGCTTTCTAATTTCCATTATCAAGTTTGCTACGTGTTGTTATAGTGACCTTACTTTTATCCTGAACCAACATAAATACTTCACAAATCAAATGGTATATAGGAACTGTAGTAGCTCTTTCTGTTAGAAGACTGTATTTGATAGCATGAAACGATTTCTTGTAGCAGCTGTGATGAAAGGAAACGAAGACTGTAATTTCTGGTTAAATAGCAGGAAAGACTCAGGCAGGCAAATGATAATTGGACAAAATGAGTTGAGTACATGCCATCCCATTTGTTTCTCATTAAGAGTTCTGTAGCAAAACTCTAGGATAAAAGTTTGAAAGTGATGTTCTTTGTCTTTAAATCTAAAAGATTGCTGGCAGTATTTATTTGTTCTAGAGACTTCTTTTTCTATTCATTTCAGAGATCTCCAAGTCCCAGAATGATATGGCTGACAGAAGTCTGCTAACGACAGATTATGGACATAACGTGGAAAGAAGGAAGCAGAGGAGGAGCCAGTCTGACACTGCCATCAACATTACAAGCAGGGTATCCAAATTGTTATACACAAACTCTAGCTGCAAGAGCTGTTTCAGGAGTAGAATTCAAGAATTGTGACTTGCATGCTGGGAATTTACTTTTATTTATGAGCAGGGCTTCAGCTAATGTTCACTAACTGTGGCCAGAGCTCTGATTCCTCATGTGATTTTTGACTGAGTCTCCACACTTGCTCTCAGCCCGGATCTGAAATGTTAACTGGGATTTTACAAAGACCATCACATGGGGAGAGGATGGGTCGATTTTCTCTCGGGTGCTCACAGCCTGTGTTGGGGCTAATTGTCATCTGCTCTATGGGACTGTTAGACTGTGCAGAAGTTCTCTGTTTCTTGTCCAGGGTTGCCTCATCCCAGGTGGAGAATCTGGCATTTACCTTTATTAACATGCCAGAAAGTACTTTCATTTTTCAGAGAATTAATTGAATTTTTTTACCCCCTTTAGAGTATGCATGTTTCTCCTAGGAATGACCAGGAAATAATAGATGTAGCTGCCCTTTTGATTACGTAGGGTATAAGACTGGGGCACCACTTTGGTTTAAAGAGCAAGATCTGTTTCTCATGTAAGGTTTCCATAATTGTGGTATGGTCTCAGCTTGATTCCTTTAGATTAGTGTTGAAAGAGATTACAGTTAAATTCAATAATAGAAGAAAAAAATAATGCAATCTCAACCACTGTCAGCAAGCCTGAAGACTGAATTTAGAAAATGCTATTCAATTAACTTCCTATGGCCTCCCATTATCAGCTCAACAGTTTCGTTGATTCAGTCACACTATCGTCTTGCTAGTCTTATGGATAATCCTTGTCATACAGTTGTTTTCTTAGATTCTAACTCCAAAATTTCTCAGCTCAATCTCTTTTGAACCATGAGTGCCCTTTTCACAGGTTTTATTGTTCAGGGGTAATGCTGTGTCACAGTGAGCCATATACGCCAGTCTTCCTGCCCTTCATTCTATGAAGTCTATGATTATTTGGAACAGGGGTGGCTGAAAGTAAATCTCAAGGTGTTCTGCTACTACATTTCTTTATTTTCTACCAATTATCAGGGTTTTTGTGGGAAGAGTGAGAAAGTGAATGGTCTTAAAATCAAGAAAAACTCAGATCTTTTTTATTTCTGTAATCAAAGCTAAATAAGAATTTGTCAGTCTGGTTCTATTTTCAGGTTTCTTTCAACCTACATTCATTCTTGCATAAATAGACATGGGCATGTGTCATGCATTTTACAAAATACTATTTTCATTTTCCTGGAGGCAAGATTATTTTTTTTTTCTTCCAAAATTACTGTTTTGTTAAAGTTTAGTAGGGCCTTTTATTGATGTATTACTACTTATGGTATGTTATTTGCAGACTGTGATTAGCAATTGCTGTGGTAGTGAACCACAGCTTAGCTGGTGGCGTGTTGATTTTAAAGAATGATGGATGTAATGAATGTACTGCTAGCTGAAATGGGCATGTTGTAAGTCAACATTTAAATGAAGTTGCTACATTTATCTTGGAAGTGTGCCATCTGTGTGACATTGATCAATGCGAGTTGTAGATATTTACTTAATTTTCGTGTGATACCATTCTGAAGGAACTGAGGCTTTTCTCTTTATTAAAACAAAACAAAACAAAAAAAACAAAAAAACAACCCAAAATAAATTGTTGAATCTCTTACAGAAGAAAAGTACACCCAGTCTTCAAGATCTCTTCTATGGGGCTCAAAATGATAATGAAATTCTTACCAAAAGGAATTGCAAGCAAGAGGAAGACATAACAACCAGTCCCACAAGTGATGCTGTTTTCTGTGATGGCAGGAAACATGTAAGTTTAAGCGTGAAGCACAACAGAACAGCTACCGCATGGAGATCAATGTAAAAGCTAAGATATTGATTTGTATTACACAATGTATGAATTTTACTTGAGTTTCTTTCTGATAAAATGCTTTTGGCAAGGTCATTGTAGAAACACTGAACTATTCACAGCACAAGCCCAATAAAATTAATAACAGATAATTGGTAGATAGGTATGGCCATTAATAGTGAATGACTAATATATCAGGTTCCTCTGAGTCTTGCAAATTCAGCTAACATTCTTTCCATTTTGTGTTAGTGTTGAGATCCTGAACGTGATTCTTTCTAGACTAGTAGCCAGCTTCTTTTTCTTATTACTTCATTTAACAGAAGGCTTTTGTTATTCTGCAAGAGGTGTGGTAATGCAAATGCCAGTGGAAATTCAAATGTCAGAACTTTGGTGAATGAAGAGAAAGCTGGCAGTTAAGGAAGTCAGGGGAACAGCTGATAGGCTTAGAGGATGTTATTGAAACTTCTCTGGTGGATGGCATTTTGAATACTGAAAATTACAGAGAAGGAAGCTAGTTGTAAATGAATTCAGTCCATCCTTTAAAGTCTCTGTGATTAACCTTGGCTGCTAATTTCTATGTATTAGTGTTGAGGTTAATCGGGGTGAAGTGTCCAAAGAATCCGTGACTGATCTTGTAAAAAAGAGAACTAAAATGGCTTTTGAGGAATCAAAATGAAACCAGCCTGCTCACTTCACAGGGGATAAAAAAAACAAGGATTTGGACTCTCTCTTCCTATTTACCGAGCTGGGGAGGCTGAGGTGTTACACTGGCAAATGAACAGCGCTTTTGGGGGCACTTGTGATTCTGCTGGCAGTCGTTTGAACTAGGCTATAGACAACCACAACTCAGTTTTAATAGTAAAGTTCCTCTTATGAGTAAATGTTTGTTGTTAATGACTGCTCCATGAAAGTATGTCTTCCAAAACACAGTATGATATTATTTCCAGTCATGCCAGCAGGAGTGTAGTGCATAGCTCATTGCTAAATCCTAGTTTACAAAGCAAAAGTATGAGTGATATCTACACTGATTGAATATGTATGAAACATGATTTCTGATCAGGTGGGAGATGAATGTAATGGCGTTCAATCCAAATATCATTCATCAGAATAGCTGTCCAGGTTTTAAGAATATGAGGGCCTGTGGAATAATTTTTGGGTCTTGTGTGCAGAACTTCTAATAAGATACATAAGATGGAAATGCACTTTTTTTTTTTTTTTTTAGTGAAAGATTTTTGTGGAAAATAAATATTTTGATCAGAAGAATAAAACTATTCTATGTCAGGATATAAAAGAGCAGAACTGAACAAAGCTGCAAGGTAGATTGCACTGATGCACATCTTGTGGTGAGAGCAAGATTACGTGCAACTTGCATCAGGTCACAACAGCCTAACACTTGTGACTTCCTTAATAAGCACTCTGATCCTTGTTCCATCAGATTTGAGCTTATAAGATTGAGTTGAGAGCTTCTTTAAGTAACCTGTTGCCATGAATATTAAAATGACCAGTTAGCACATCTACAGCATTGAAGAGAACATTTTGGCAGGAACATCTGCACAGAAGAAAGATCTGATCTTGTAAATGCTGCCCTGCAGTCTTAGCTGCTGGATTGTGCAATGCAGAACTCCTTGGTTAACCGACCCTGTGTGGGTTGGTGTTGTTTTTCAGAGGGAGGAGTGGTCTAATGCAGATATTTTAGCAATCTAGGACGATGTTACCATGAGATAAATCCCAACGACAAGCTTGTCCTCATGACATACGATATGTAAAAAGATGCTAGAGTGTATTTTGAAGAGCACCATTATAAATGAATGGAGACCAAATTATTCTGACTCAGTTGACAGTTTGTTACAGTGAAGACTGAATAGCACTAACGAGTTATGTGGGCCACAGAAAAGGCTGTAGTCTTCCTGTTTATTTCAGTGTCATGGCCTCTGTAAATGCTAGAAACAAATACTGTTTATATCTATCTGGAAGGAGAGCATCCAAACCTTTGCCCTGTAGGAGCATGTAGATGAAAGGAGAACAAAGTGGCTGAGGTGAGCCAGAAAACACCTTCCTAATGTGCTAACCCGCATCCAGACAGCTGGATGTCTCTGTACATTAATATTTCCTGAGCAATCTGCTGCAGTCTGTCATTTCTATATGGAACTGAGTGATCTTCTGGAGTGTTTACTGGTTGTGCATTGATGCTTTTGTTTCTTTAATATCCAATAGAACCTAGCATCTCAGGTTCTACTGTATTGATGCTGTAAGCATCAATAGCAGTCTAGTTCTGTAATTTGTGCGTTAGTAAATTTTGGGATTTTTCTGTAAGTGTGGACAGAACTCTCTTTCTTCCAGGTATGTAGCCCATTTTATGATGGGAAACCACACAGCAATTTTATTGGGAGACAATTTCTAGATCTAGAAATCTAAGAAAGTACTTTCTTAACTGTGGGTTAATGGAATTAGAATAGTGAGTAGTAGAATAGTGAGTTTAATAGAACAGTAGAATTGGGATTAGTTATAATTTTCAGGGCTCCTATGGAAGCAATGGAATGGTTTTTATGCATGTTATCTGAAATCTTCATGATTTTCAATAGCTGTGTAGCAGTAGCAATGCAGTCAAGGTAGTACTGACATTTGAGAGAAATAAATGTATTATTCTAGATCTGAAGCTACTTTTCTGACATTTTGTCTTTTCTCAGGGGAGTTTGTATAGTCTTAACAGCACTTGCACTGAATCCGGCAACTTTGGCAAAGCGAACGTCACAGGAGAAATAGAGTTTGCCATAAGATACATCTTCAAGGCTTGCATCTTAGAAATTTGCATCAGAGGATGCAAGAATCTGGCTTATGGAGAGGAGAGAAAGAAAAAATGTAACCCGTAAGTATTTTATAGAGAAGGAGAAAAAACCAGAATATTTTGCTTATTGTTTCAAGGGTACTTACATACGCTGTAATTGAAATGGATTCATATATGATGGCATGCTGTAATAAGACTTTCAGAACATCCAGTGCATATCTGCACTTTTTACCTCTCTGCGCTGCAAAGCACACGTTTCATATTAGCTCTACTTGTTCTCACACATTTCTGCTATTAACTGTCTCTTTGCCTGCCTGCAAGCAGGCAGTTGGTTATCTGTGTTGCTGATGAGCACCTTTGGATCTTGAGAGTGGCAGTTTAGATTCTAGCTATTAACTTGTGCCTGCAAAATTAATACACACACAGCTAAAATACGAGATGGAAAATTGAAAGGTGAATCATGTTACTAATTTATCTACTGACTCAGCGCTGGTTACTGCCAGACACATTGACTGCACGCGCACTACTGTGCTTCCGCCCTCCTCATCAATAAGAATGGAAATCTCAGATACTGCAGCACTTCTTAAAGCTTAAAGGTGCTTAATAATTACGTACTGCCACAAGAAGTAATATGCTTACTTCTGTGGGTAAAATGACTGGTTGGATGGCTAAGCCTTGGTGATTTGTTTGTTTGTTACTAAATGATCTCTGACCGTGCAGTAATCATTTGTGGAAAATCACCATGCAGAATGCCTAACTACACATTCTTGTCCCTGCTGTCACATGATTGCAGTCACCTTCACTCAGAAGGAATGTGGCTTTGCATATCTTGTGGAGGAAGCTCATAAAGATGAGCTTGGTGAGGAAAAGAACATTGCTGAAAAAACAGATCATGAAGCAGGATTGTGGGAGTGTTTCAGGAGAGGGTCAAAGTTCTCCAAGTTCCCTGGTGAGTTAGCAAGGCAAACAGTTGCAGGAAGCCTGAAAAGCGATGTGGGAAGAGCTGTGCAGTGAACATCATGTTCTCTAATGGTACATATTCATGTATTCATATATTTATCTTGGTTTCCAAGCCAACACAGAAAGTACCGTCAGTGCACTTGACAGAAAAAGACAAAAACAACTGACAAACTCATAAGTTGTGTTTAAAACCTGTTGAATTGTTTAGCTGGTTGGCTAGTTTGAAGTCTGACTGTCTACTTCTTAATTAAATTGATCTGGGATGACGGAGTAAGGAGCTAAAAGTTCTTATACCTGTATATTTTAAAAAGTAGTTTTAACTATAGATAGGTTTGGAAAGAATAGGGAATATTTGTAAGTTCTCTTATCTTAACTCTTTATTAATTAAGAGGTCATTTAAAAATTGGCCTAACTCATGTTATCTGAAATACGTACCGCAAACACCGGTTTAAAGATTTGCCTGCCAAATTGTGAGTCATCATTCTCTATTGCTAATTCTCTATTGCTAATACTGATCAATTTTGAAGCACATAAACATGGCTCCTTAATTGGACTCCTTAATATGGAGAATAATGCTTAAGTCATAATTGTTAAATGACCTAAACATGGTTAAATGGTGTTGATGCTTGATATTGGTTCAACTCAGCTTCCAGAAGACTTTTTAAACTGTCTTTTGTTGAATCAACACTAAGGTAATTTCAAACACTTTAGTTGCTCTTCTACTTACCACCCTCTGGTCACTTTCTGTATGACTTCTCTATTCTCAAGGTATGTCAAGGTTTATTTACTTCCTGATAAATCTTCTCGGAGTAAGCGGAAGACAGCTGTCAAAAAGAACACAGTGGATCCAGAATTTGATGAGACCTTGAAGGTACTGTTTGCAGTTGTGTCCTGCTAAATGTGCTTTTCCATGCTAATGTCTCCTCCTATGACATACAGTCCTGTGAGTTCAGAAATGTCTTGGTGGGCCAATTTTAGAAGTCAGTGACAGCAGCCATTAAAAAATGATGGGTTTCTGTCTGCAAATGCTTTTGGAATTACGTTAATAAATGGTGAACTCTCAGTTAAATCTGCTTTTAAGTTTTTTCAGTGCATGAAAACACTGAACGAATGTGTTACCTTATGGCAAAAGCAAAGTGTCTTCTGTAGTGTCTTCTACATGCTTATTTGGCGTGTTCGGGATCTGAGCGCATTGCAGAGCACAGTTAATTATATGCTGCTCTCCCTTTCAGTTGATCCCCTTTTATGCGCTGTCCTAGGGAGCGTCTCTCTGCAGTTAGCTGAATGCTGACTGAATTCCACTTTGCTAAAATGTTTTCTGCTCCCTCTTCCCTGTGAGGCTGTTACCAGACTGTCTCTTTGGACCGTCTCATTTCAAACATTAGTAATCCCATCAGAGAACAGTAGGTATGGTTTGAATTCATTAGTGCCTTATGCTATTACTTCAGCAACCTTGTAACAACATTGAGTAGAACATAGAAGGCATTATTCTCATTTCACAGACACTTAATTGGATGTGAAGCTGAAGCCAAGTACTGTCAGCAGACAGAGCTGAAGTCGGTTTGGTTGTTTCCTGTTCCACTTTTGTGCAGAGATCACTATAAACCCGTCTCTTTGTGTGCATCAGTGAGCTGCAGCAGCAAATAAAATGATGTGTTCTTCAGTAACACGTTGTAACAGGCAGGAAACAAAATTAATGGAGGGACAAGTTTATAATATTTCTCCTGGAACTACATGAAAATTTCAGTATGTCTGAATATCTGGGCTTAAGTTGGGAGAAAAAAGTACCTACCATTGAAATATTTGGTTCTTATTTCATAGTCCTTTTTCAATGCCTGAGTAATGCAGAGCTGATAGGCAATGAGAGCCATGTCCAAGCTGGCTGTGTAAATGTTCAGGTTAGTTAAATTAGAAATAATTTAAATTGATTTAAACATGTGGAAATGGTGGATTGAACATAGTGCCAGTGCAGATAAACTACACTTGAAAGCTGAGATCCACCTCAGCGGTATTTCTGGCTGCAAATCCAGACACCTGCACTTAGCAGGCTGTGTTAGTGAAAAGCAAGGTGTTCTCAGGAGCCACTGGAGCGATTCAGGGCTGTTTGTCCCATAGCCTACAGGCAGCTTATGATTCAGCACCTCAGTGTTGGTAGCAATGCCTGTAGCCATGCCATCGACTCTGGCTTCCAGGTCACCTGTAGGTGGTATCGTGCTTAGCAATCCGTTGTGGCTATCTTAGGTACCTAATGACACCTCGAAGGGCTCTAACTGTGCTTAGGGAGTAGATCAAGGCTGTAATGACAGGTCTCCTTAACTACTTCCTTGCTCATACTGGCTGCACTGCGTATGCCTCCGCTGACCAGAATGGAAGTTTTAGACCTTTGTTAGGTATCTCAATCTTGAACTGACCTCCAACTGTAGCAGTTAAATTGTACTGGGAGTGTAAAACAGAAAAAAAATGAATGATTAAAAAAAAAAAAAACCCTATAAAATAGTCAAGAATGATTTAAAGATGCAGATTAATAATTAGCAGTGCAGGCCAAGGTATTTTTGGAATGTAGGTTTTTTTCCATTTGCATGGGGCATTACTTTATCATTTAAGGAGTGAGGTAACAGGTAAATTGCAAAGCACGTTCAGACAGCATAGTTCTGTCTGCATCCAGGTGCCTTCAGCCATGCTTTAGTTGGGCTGCCTGTGCACATCCTGAGAACATTCATCCTGTTACAGCTTTTAAATGCTGTTTATCTTTCCAGTACAAGATCGAGCGCTCCCAGCTGGGAAGCCGGCAGCTTCAGATCTCTGTGTGGCATGCAGGAGCACTCAAGTACAGGGTGTTTTTGGGAGAAGTGCTGATTCCGTTGGCAGCGTGGAGTTTTGAAGACAGCTCAATGGGGTCATTCAACTGGTACCAGCTCCAGTCCAAGGTGATTGTTAATTTGTGCTTAGTTTTGTCTTAAGAAGTGGGTGTAATGATAGAGCGCTATGAAAGAGATCGTCCTTCTGAGGTCACTGGGGCAAGAATGCTGTCAATCCAGCCCTCAAGTAAGACCTGCTACATATATAAATGAGCTGTGAGAATGATGTGGAATAGAAAGCAATTCTGATCTCTGTGTCTCTCATTCTTCAGCATGAAAAGCCTGAAGATCATCTTATTCAATACAGTGGAGAACTCCTGGTGTCTGCAAGATTGTCGGTACCAGCCCAGTATAAAAATTTCCAGTTTGGAAGGTGGATGATGGAAGGTATAAAACATTCCAGTGTGCATGAATCCCTTGGCTAGAAAAGAATTGAGACCGATGAAGAACTGACAGTTCTCATGTGGAGTTTGTATGCAGTTTATAGTATGTTACGTTTAAATTTTTTTACAATCCAAACATTTGCCAGCTGCAACTTTTTGTTATTTTTAATGCCGGAAAAAAAGGAATCCTTGTAATGGTTGCAGTATGGTGCATCGAGATGTCTGGCAAGCTTGTGCTTCTTGTGGTGTTGCTCTGAAGGAGATGCAGTAGTTTCACTGTCTGAGGTAGAGACTGCCGATTTAGGAAAGATGTGGAAGGGAATGGCTCCAAAGGTACCAAACCAGCATCCTGGGCTTTCCTCCTATGGTCTCATTTTAGGAAGATTGTTTCACTTAAAAGATGTTAGGTTCAAAATGTGCAATCAAGATTCAGTTCTTGGTGATGGATGACTTGCACGGTATGTTAAACACTCAAGTAGTGGATCAGATCAAACATCTGCTGATGTAGTAACACAGACATTTTGAGGGCAGTGGATAGGTCAACCTCATTTCTTACCTCCCTGGTTCATGATGAGGTATGTAAGGGTCTAGAGGTCTCGTAAAGCTCTGTTCAGAAGCGTAGAACATGTAGAGACCAATAGAAAGACCTTACTTAGTTGTTAGATTAGTTCTACTGCCTTTTTTTCTGAATAACCCCTAAGCTACCAGCTGGCTTTCTTCTATTCTTCCCTCTGCATTTCCCTGTGTCCCTGCCCTGTAAACAGAGCTGTAACAGAGCAGTAATCATCTTATGCAGCAGTGAGTCCTTATCAAAATTGTAATTTTCCTTTTTAATTAGTGACATCTTATGATATCAAGTGAACTAACTGGTTACTTAATGTGGTAACCTTTCCTGTTTCAGGAAAAAAAGACCAAGAATTTTCCAACTGCCAGCTTCAGGTTATGATATTTGGGGCCAGGAACTTGCCTGTGCTGAGATCTGCTGGGACGCTGAACTCGTTCGTTAAAGGGTACGTGTGAGACTTAACACTTCACGTGGAAAATATTGCAAACATCCTGTGTAGAGGTAGGAATTAACTTGCTTTCAGCAGGAGGCTGTTGTATGGAAGTGGCACTGTCCACGCTTGGTCACACTTGTTCTTAGTGGTGCCAGTTCACACCTGAGCATCTACAGAACAGCGGCCCTCAGCAGGGCAGTGAGGTGTCCTGAGTGCAACATCAGAGTTTGCTGTTGTCATTAAAATTTAGAGTTCACTAAAGATTCCTTTAACAGTCACTGACAACAGAGGAAGAGCAGATGTGGAGACCCACACTGAGGGCGGGAAGAAAAAGCCAATCCAGAAAAGAAACTGAATATCATCATGTTCTACCTTGTACTTAAGCTATTTAAGGCAAATCGAAGGACCCTGATTAGAGTACTGCAAACATTCTGTTTTCTGATTGAGAAATACTGCTTGGATCAGTAAACTTGCTGAACTTGCATTTTATTTATTTTTTGGGGGGGTGGGGGGGAAAAGCTGTCTTCTCCTTTCAGACCAAGCAGAGTTAAAGCAAAAGTCCCCTGTGGTGAAGAAAGAAGACTGTCCTCAGTGGAAACACTTGTTTGTCTTTGATGTTACCCCAGCTCAGCTACAGCAGTCATGTCTACACTTGACTGTCTGGGACCAGTCAACTTTTGGCTCACGTGATCAGTTCCTAGGGGGTGTCAAGCTGGGTGCAAGTAAGTTCTTTACTGATAAATGCTGATGCTGATTTGAGTGGAAAAAAATGTTTATTTTACCTTCTAAACCTATTTGCACTGTGCTGTTAGCATGTGCCTGACATACAGCCCCCAGTCTGTGACCTAAGCAACTTGCATCTCAGGCTTTGATCCTGCTGGAAGCAGTGTGTGTGTTTTAGTTCAGTCTGTGCAGAAGCTCCAGGTCATCAATGGGAACTGACAGGCAAAACTATTTGTTAGCATGGGAATGTTCTGGGTCAGTGCTTGGCCCCGCAGAAGGCAAATAGAGTAGGGAATGAAAGATACATACAGAGCTCTAGCTGTGGGTGATTCAAGACTTGTTCTTGAGTGATTTTCTCTATAAATTGCCTGTTTTAAAAATGCTATAAACTGCATCAAAACTGAGCTCAAGAAGTAACGGTCTATTAGATTTCAAGCTTGCAGATATTTGTGTTTATTTTACATTCACATGATTTTCCGATAGAAGGTACAGAAAGTGAAGGTTGCTCAAAAGTCTTAAAGGAACTATTGCATGTCCGAGCTCTGGTCTAACGTAAAGAGAGAACCTTCTGAAGGCTGAGAAATGTACAGGAAATTCTTTGCTCAGTGACCAGGCCCTACTTAAACTACTTGTTGAACAGAGAAGTATTGACACTTGATTGCTCAATGGGGTTTCTCATGTCTGCTTTTCCTGACAGCTGACAGTAAATGCTGTGGTTTTGGTATTTGAGATGAAAGGCTCAAGCATCATGAATCTCTCCCCTCCTCTACCTCCCTGCCACATGCAGGGCCACCACCCTCCCCATTCAATACTGGACCAGGCTGCCCAGGGCCCCATCCAGCCTGGCCTTGAACACCTCCAGGGATGAGGCATCCACAGCCTCTCTGGGGCAGCCTGTTCCAGCACCTCATCACTCTCTCTGCAGCCTTGCTACACTACTTCGTTTGCCTTTCTGTTAGAGCTTATTATTATCCATGTCCTAGCCTAGTAACACATTACAGTCACTGAAGATGAAGTGGCACCAACCTATTCTACCACTTTTGAATTGTGCATTTGCTCCTTTACTTCTGGCTAAGTTCTTTGCTGCAGACTGAGCTCTTCACTGAGTGATCCAAGTCTAACAGCATATAAATGATGCTTCAGGAGTGTAGCTACAGTTTATTGCAAATAAGACACAAAGAACTCCAGAACTGCTGAAATTGCCTAAGAACTGGGAGAATGCGCTTGTGCAGTCATTTGGGCCTGACTGTAATAAAATCTTTGGGTAAGGTGAAGTGAAAAGCAGCCCCGTGACCTTTCATTTTGCTTTCTTGCAGAGCAATTGCTTGGTTTTGCAGACCCCATTTCTCCGTCAGTGCTTCAATGGGAAGAAGTGTTGCGCAGGCCAAACACGTGGATGGACTTTACACTGATACTGCATTCAAATATGGAAAACTTTAAATCATGAAGTTAATGGCCTGCCTTCCCTTCTCAGTGGGTGATATTCAGGGTTGGAGTGGTGCATATACATTCTGAGCATGGTGAAAGGGTACACAACAGTACCTACTTCTCTGTTTGGGGAATTGAGTTGTAAGTTTGAACGGTTGTGATACTGAAGGTTTTATTTCTCAAAAATCTAAAGCTTTGTTATCTTATACTTTACCTAGAGATAAAGGTTAATATTGTTTCTCAAGAGTAACAAACTGAAAGGCATTATGCTGACAAGGCACTAGTAGACAGATGGTATGCAGCTTTCTCTTTCTGGACACAGAGCTACAGTTGTTCAAACACAGATAAGGAATATTGCATAGAGATAAATGATCATTTTCTTATTAAAAAAAAGTTATTTCACTCCAGTTTTCATGCTTTGTCATCAAAGGGAAGTAAAAACTACCTCCTCTCTTATTGCAAAATTATAACAAGCAGTACTTCAGAACTATCTCCAGTGCCCATACTAATGATCCGAAAACAATTTGGCCTGCATGCCTTACAGCTTTCCAGCGTGTGCTGTACTAACTGGTTAGTTATAAATTCTCCTTTGGTGGGAGGAGTGCTGCACATCAGCTAATAGAATAAATGCTGATAGAGAAAGTTCCTTGTTTTTACCAGCAGCTGCTGTCAACTGGTGTTAACAAGTCAGACGGATCCATATGGTGTATGGCACAGCTCAGCTTATCACTTATTCATGTGAAGTGGTGGAAATGCACGCTGCCTGTTCCCTTTGCCTCCAGCGAAGCAGCGTTACAGTCAGAAACCTCATCTATGCAGCTTTACCTGGTGCTGCTGTTACTTACCTCTCCCTTGGGGCTGAGGTGAAGATGGTCGCCATTTGTCAGTACAGCAAGTATTATCCCTTCGTGCCAGCTCAGCGGTGCTTAAGGATGTAACAAAGAAGGGAAGCATGCACTAGCCTTGGAAACTAGAAGCCAGCACCCTTTTTCACTAAAATGCACTCATGAAACACTCAACTCAAAATCCTTTGTTACTTTGCAGATCTTTTATTTAGATGTTTGCTGCTGCAAATAAAAAAAAAAATAACACCACACAAGAAGATTCAACTCGAGTATAAAGCAGCACAGATGTTGTAAATGGAAGAGAAGAGCTGACACCATGCTGTTATCTCACTTTCTAACAGATTTTCAAGGAAAAGGGGGAGATCAGTGGGGAAGGAATGGTCACAGAAATGCTCTCTAATAGAGAGATACACCTGTGATATAAACAAGCAGTCCCTTCATGTTTGGAGTCTGAAACTTTAAATCAAACATTTAAAAAATTAGAAAATTTGTTAGAAAAATAGGTGCAGTAAAATTGTATATATTGGATCCATGTGTACATATCAATTTTCATTAAGTAAAAAAATGATCTTTACAAATAATGCTTTATAGTAAATAATCAGTTATACTGCAGACTACAGTGTTCAGGCGTCTTTACAGATGCGAGTCATTAAATCTGAAAAGTAACAAAATATACAGAGCAAAACTATTTCCCTTTTGAACTAGTACTTACTTCAATCCACATACTGCATATTTTTATATATATATAAATACTACACTATAACTGATCAGTTATGAAACTGGAATGCAAACACAGTAGTGTATTATTCCAACAGAATGTTTGCCTAGTTGTTACATGAGGAGGGTGCCCTGTTCTGTGCCACACTTCAGAGCTGCTGCAGCACTTCTCCAGTTAAGCACAGCAAGCAGGAAAAGCCCTATTTCAATGCAGTACAGTTCTGAGGTGCTGTCAGTTCTCTTTTGCTTGTGTGTCAGGTGGACATAAAGACAAAACAGAGTGCATGTGCATGCATCAGTGCACACACAGCTGTTTGCAATTCCTGACTTGTGACCTCTCACCTGTTGGACATTAACACAAAGACATATGGCACAAAATTCACCCCCAGTTGCTAATTTTTAGACCAAGGTGAATCCAGCACCTGCACAGGACATGTCTCTACAACTAGATGTGGATTTGTTTTGGTTAAAGAGAGATGTGACATAAGGCCTTTTGGCACGAAGCAAAGGCATGAGCAAGTTACCAGGATCAGAGGTAAGATCGATTTTTAACTATACCAAATTTAATACATGGTATGGAAGAAAAGGGAGATGCAAACACCTCTGGGTTTAGAGAACATTTGTTAAATACCATACAGTGCCCCTCCTCAGGGTAAAAACAAAACCAAAACCACAGCATTAAGATCTGCCTTTCCCACAGTCTTGCCTTCTTGTTGTAAGCACTCGTTACATTGCCTCAAACTCATCAATTCTCTGCTTGGTGTTGCCTTGTCGGATCTGCCGCAGCGTCTTGTACTTGTCACGGCCCTGTCGCACGTTCTCCGAGTGGATGATATCATTTTGGGTCCTCTTATCTTCATCTCTAGCCTGCGCCAGTTCATCTGTCAGTGCCTGCAGTGGAGAGAACATTAAATACAAATTAGACACAAGGCGCTTTCAACTTCCAACAGCAGTGGCTTTGGTGAGACTTTTGACAGTTCTTAGATGACCAGACAAGTCAGCAGTGTGGATTCAACATACGGTGGAACAGTATGGATGATGCAACTTTCTGATGACCCAAAGCCTGAACAACAAGAACAACCTTTTTGTACACTGCTTTTAATTCAACCTGCCCTATAGGACCTGTAAGCAAAGAAAAAAAATCACTCTGTGTGTGTTTACAAGCGGTTAAATTACCTATTTTCCATGAACAGAATCTCTTGTTAATTCTCCTCCTCCAAACACTCTCTCTTACCTTCAGCTGCCTCTGCACACGCTCATTCTTCTCTGCTTCAGTAATGCGCTTCTCCTCATTGCGGTCATTCCTGATCCCCTCACTGGAGAACTCTGCACTGTAGGCAGAGTACTCAGACCCCTCATCATGCAGGTTATCGTGCACGTGGTAGTTCACTGGCTCGTAGATGGGTGGAGGTGGAGGTGGAGCAGTCATTACCAAGTGCAGCTCCTCCTTTGTCTTCACCAGATCCTCCTGGGCTTCCCTGGCCTTTGGGGAAAACAAACAAAAGCAAAAAGCTCATGAGGTTCGCGCAGGTTTACCTATTGAGCCTGTCAAGGTCCCTCCACACGGCATCCCTTCTTTCTAGCGCGTCACCAATGGGTGCGGTGAGGCTGACATCAGCAATGTTGCTGAGCAGGCACTCCATCCTGCTGTCCATGTCCCCAAAGCCAACAGACAGCATCTGCCCTAACGCCACGAGAAATGCCACTTGTCACTGGTCTGCATTTGGACACCAAGCTGTTGACCGCAACTCTTTGAGCGTGGTCATCCCCACATTCCTCAGCCACTGCGTGCTTCCTCTGTCAAATCCACATCTCTCCTGTTCAGAGACAAGGATGTCATGCGGAACTGTGTTCAACACCTTCTACTTTAAATTTTGACTAAAGCACCACAGTACACGCTGCTCAAGCACAGAACTTCAGAGCAAGTTTGACAGAATACTCACTCTGATCTGCCATTCTTCAACCTCGTTCTCCTTACGCTTCCTTGCCTCTTCAAGAAGTGCAATCTTGGCTGTGTACTCTGCGAGCTCTGCGGCCTGTAAAACAGTAACACCAGAATTAAGGACTCAAAAAATAAAAAGCAACCCCACAACAAATAACAATTTCGACTGAGAAAAGACCCACGTGTTACACTCCCCTCTAGTAAAGACTGAATAGGAAATTAAGAACAAAGTATAGATTGCTTGATTTTTTTTTCCCCTTTTGACTCCAAGGCCTTATTTAAGTAAGTGGCATAGCATATCTTAACCAAAAGTGATCGGGTCTTACCAGCTGTTCCTGGCTCTTTATCTGGTCAATATTTTGTCTCTCCAGCTCTTCCTTGGCTTGCAAAGCAGCCAGACGATCAGCTTCCAAACGTTCTGCTTCCTCCTGAGCTCGTCTCCTTTCTTCCTCCAGCTGAAGAGCTCTTTGGATCTGATCTGAGAGCTCTGGGAAAAAACAGATCAACACTGTTAGTCCACCAAAAGACAAGCAAAGCAAAGACAAGCTCATAGGTTAACTGCAGAAGTCATGACATGCACGACTCCAGCCTGCAATATTTCTTCACTGCACTTACAAGTAGGTATTGCACAAAATATGGCAAGTACCCAAATTCAGAAGCTGTCGGTTGCACATTATAATTAGATCATCTACAAGGTATTTGCACTGCCATGATCCTGCTGCCCTTAGTTGACAATTTACTGTGAGGACCAGATGATGCTGTCTCCAAGCTGCTCATCTGTGCATTGAAACAGAAGCTTCCATTTTACTGGAAGGACTTGCTACCAAACCATTCCCTCTGTTCAGAGTTAAGTAAAAAGCATGTGCCAGCTGAGCTCTGGTTCTCATTGCTGCAAAAGGCTCATGCTAAAACCCCCTCAGCAACAGGGAAAAAACAGAGTTAGTGTGTCCTTCAACTCCCACTGATAGCAGCAGATGTCGTGACTTATGCCTTGGATGTCGTCAGCAGTGCATGCATGTGTATTTATCCACATAAGCAGATATCAGTATGCCTTGCCAAGAGATCCTGGTGTCACTAGACTTAGCTAAGTGTGAAGCACAATACACACGATCTGGTTAAACAATGCAAACACTTTACCTTTTTCTGCTCTCTTGGTCTTCACTTCATACTCTTGTAGCCTCACCAGCAGTTCTTCCTTTTCCCTCAACATTTGCTCCTTCTCCCTCTCAATTGTCTCCCTCTTCTTCTTTTCATTTTCTAGCTGCTGCCTGTTTAGGAACAGATTTCATGCTTCAAGCTCACTTTCAGACATAAACCACAGCAAGGCAAGAAAACTGGATGGTCATCTCTCCAGACAGTTAAATAGGACAAAGTTGTGTGACTGCCACAAACAGGAGCCAGAAGACAGAAATGCACTGAGAAATTCATCCTTAATCACTTCAGTTTTTGCCCAGTTTTGGATACTCATATTTCATAAAAGTACTTCTATTTTTTGTAGGCTACCCCAGAACCTTAGAGAACCAAATAAATAGTAGATGCAGAGCGAGAAAATCATGGCTCTGTGCTACATGGCAGAGGAGATGTATTTTATTACTTCTGTCATAAGGAAAAATCAAATGAGCACTGAGGAATGCAGATGAAAAAGCCAGCAATACAGGAGAAATCATGATTTCTCGAATTGTAAGCAACCTGCAGCCATAGTAGAGAGTCCAGCAGAATTGTTAATCCTTTTCTCTTGCCTCTAAGAGGTCTTCCAGTCTGCATACAGATGCTCCCTTTGAAGTCTGCTCCTTTAGCTTCCACCCACTCCACAACCAACACAGACCAGAGACAGGAGAACCTCTCTCAAAGTTTAGGACCCCAACACAGGAGCACACAGTGACTTCATGTGCATGGTTCCTTGAAGAACCAGCTCTTAAGACTGCAGACAGGAGAGCAGACTACAAATGTAAGCCAGAAGAATTCTCATGCTCCCACTGCAGGATGCCCCGAGTCCTACCACTGAGGGCCAGAGCTCAAGGACTAACGCACACACCTCACCCAAAGGTAGATGGCTCACAGCCTCATTTAAAGCCATCTGAGAAACTCTGGCAGATACGTATCATTTTCCTCTGCCTCCCCATCCCGTTGTCTCTACACAGGCTCACCTTTCCAGCTGCTTCTGGTGCTTCTCCTCCCGGGCCTGGGCCTTCATCTGCTGCACCTCAATGGTGTCAGGCTTCCTGCGTCGCATATACAGTTCATGGTTGCCCATGCAGAGCTGCAGGATCCTCTTGTTAATTCTCAGACGAGGGGCATAAAACACAAAGTCCTGGGAAAGACAGCACACAGTTTTTCAGGCACAGCTGACTGCAGACATCATCCTGCCACTAATCCCACTGCAACACAGACATCCACCGGTAATGGAATGTCACAGCAGGACCTGCATGGCTATCTGAAGCCCAATTTTTGTTGGTTATACAATCCACTTCAAGTCCATATGGAGTTGATAAATTACTTTTCTAGAAAAAGCACCTTCTAGAGAGAATTAATGGGCTCAAAGGTCTCCACTTAGAGGATGCTTTGCCAAGCTTGGTTGCAGAAGACTCTGGGCTGGCTGGTAACAATCTGGGCAATATGAAGCAATTAGTTTTTAAGCTTTTGTGGCTTTGTGACTGAAAAGATAAAGCATGAAACTAAAAATATGCTGCAGAGTATTAAAATAACACTGTAGATTTTCCTGAATTCACTGATGAAAACTTATGTCCTTCAATGCATTATGCACATACAATCAGCAAAGTGTGCTGTGCCCCCCAGACCCCAAGTCCTGCCAGAAGCATTCTGAGCTACACAAATCTAATACTGCTAATTGCAGTCTGACCTCCTATTTCTAGCAGACTGTTTGTGTACTTTGTGATGAACAGGTCTTATCTTGAAGCAAGGTTCACCTCCAGTCAAAGTAAATTCTAAGGGCACAGATGGTGGTTGTGTTCATCATTTAATGCCATACAATCCTGGGACAAAACATTCACATAAGAACATAAAGAATTCCCTCCCTTCCTCATCCTCCCCTGGACTAGCACAGCTGGAAGCTCTGCTTGGTATTTTAAACATACACTGAAGATCTTGGAGTATGTGGACTGACAGACCTCAAAATTAAAAAGCTTATTGTAGGTAAGGTGACAAAGAATGCCATCCATTAAATTAATGTCCATTTAAACAATGATGTGGAGAACAAAGAGGAGCTTCCCACCCACATCCAGGGTGGACTCAATGTTTTTGCTTTATTTACCAATGCTTGCCATTTTCAAAAGAGATGCAAGCATGTGAAAGGATCCAGACAACTTCCTGACTGTTCAGAATTAGTGTCCAGATCAATTCTTCTTTCATACCTAATTTGAAACATAACACCACCCACAGGGAAAAAGACAACCAAGACAATAAGGAAACATGATTGGTGTTAACACTGTAAACGCCTTGATGCATCAACCTTTTGCAAGCCTCCCATTTCAAACTCAGTCAGATTTACTGTTAGGGAGTGGATGGAAAAGCTGTGATCCACAAACAGGACTTTAATGTTTGTATTGTGTACAAGTCCAAATCATAAAGAGGCTCATCTATTGAGAAATATATTCCTGACAGAGGTACCTTTCTATCTCTGGGAACTTTTGCTGGTTTTCAGAGGTAACATCACAAAAAAAAGCCCCTCTCCCACAAAACTCAGGGTTGTTAGCTAGAGGAAAGGACATCCTCACACTGTGTGTGACAATCAAGTTACTGGAAGGGCCTTTTTCTGCTGAAGAGATTCATGAGACGTCACCCTTAACCAAAGCTGAACTACAGATTGTTTCTCAGGTCTGTACTGATCCACCAAAGTCAATAACTGGGGTGGGGGAAGAGAAAGAGAGGAGGTCTTTCTCAACTATTCCAGCAGTTTCACAAGACTTACAGAATGACATCCACCTATACCAGTTATTCAAGTTCTCAAAAGCTCAAAATAAGTTGCAACTTTTTAAACTAAAATAACTGAAGTGTGTAAACATAAAACATTAATACTCAAGGGCAGCTACATTTAAATTCTCCACAGAAATCACATCCTTGCCATCTACCCTAGTATTCAAGTAGGTCATTGGACATGGCGGCCCTTCGTGGCTTTCAGTATTTCTGTAGGGTGGAAGTGAACATTGAGGACAGCCATATGGACACACACAGCTTAGCAGCAGCATCTGGTAATTTTTTAAAAAAATCATGCAACCACAAAAAAATTACATGCCAGCTCCCATACACTGAAGAGAATGGAGAGAAGAGCGATCTTCAAGTACAATCCAGCTATAGAAAAGACTCAGAACAAGCAGGGAATCTCAGATTCAAGCATACTAGCTTGCTGGAGGCAAAGAACTGGGCTGCAGCTGTAGCATCCTTGCCTTTCTCCATATCTGACACATCCAAAAGCTCTTTTGCTAAACTGCACAGAAAAGCAGACTGCTCTAAATACATCCTTGATACTGATGCTAATTTTGCATCTAAGACACCTGCAGCTTTCTTCTCTTCGAAGACAACTTCATTCTGAAATGAATTGCTATTAGTTACTCTCAGGCAGCATCCATTCTCAGTATACTTACAGGTGCCTTCTTGTCAATGGGCTTTATTACAAACTTTTTGTCATTGAAGGAGATGTTTCTGATTTCACTCCAGGGGAAACCAATCTTTGGAGTCAGTCTGGAAAAAGGAAAAATATTTTAAGAGATGCTGTAATGAACTCTATTCTTTCCCCCACAATTCTTCTAAAACACAGACTCAGCAGGATGCAATGCTTGACACAACTCTCCCAACAGCAAGGAGAACAGCTGTAACAAAATCCCATAGAGGAGCAGGGGAGATGCCTGATCACCTCCCTTACAGCTCTTCTCATGCAATTCAGTCCAGATTTTTACCTTATTCATTTTTTTTTAAATGTCTCCAGAGTCTTGCATACAAAAACCAGCAAATTATTCATCACATCACAGTTTCTGAGCCATCCTAGTACTCCACCTTTACATGCCCTCCCAGTTCTGCAACAAGTTCAAGGGCTTGTGCACCTGATTGCAATGAATTCCTTCACCTCCCCTTGCCCCAGCTAAGTACCACCTTTGTGTGGTTAGTTTCACATTACGCTTCTTTTAACATTCTGGGACAGAGGACACATTCTCTAGAGATAGCAGTTAATCATCAAGAATTGGGTCTTACATAAATGTTAATACCAACAAGCAATCTTCCTGTTATTATCTAACACCATCAATGTGTCCCTCTTTGGCACACTGAAGTCCTGACAGTTACTTCCAGCAAACAGGTTGAAGGCACGAGTATGCAGTGGTCAGCACTTAGAGAAGTGTACATCAGCATAGTGAATCACTCCAAGTCTGTGTGAATCTCTTCTATGGAGCTCATCATTTAAGGAAAAAAATATTTGCTTCAACTTCATCAGAACCAAAAGTTCCTACATAATTTCATTGGCCCAAGCTTGAAACAACCTGCTTAGTTTTAATCAGAAGTCAATAATAAATACGTTCTCTTCAGAATTTACCATCCCATAACCTTTACCTCAAATGCAAGATTATGCAACAGGGTGCCATGTAACGCTAAGAACTGGACAACAAATGATTTGATTAAGTAACTACTCCAGCCTCCTTCATCCTACCAAAAGAGTTTCACCCTTAGATAATATGGTACGACATTAACTGCAGTATTTCAGTTGTCCAAGTTCTGTTGTAGATTCTCATCCTCATTGCAGAGAAAAGGCTTGGCTTGAAAATGCCCAGAGGCAGGAGACTGTGCTTGTGGTGGCAATGGTGACGAGGAGACAGTTGGACTAGATGATCTTATAGGTCTTTTCCAACCTTGTGATTCTATGATTCTATGACATTCACTGAGAACAAACTCCCATCTGTAGCACGGCATCATTTGCCTCCTCAGGCTGAGCTTCAGCAATGAAATCTTTGCTTTTTCAGCTTTTCCCCAGTCCCAAAACTCTGCACGTACAAAGCATCGGTAGGGTGCACATGAACATTTTTCTAGTCCTCATATCTGCTCGAAAGACTTAATTACAGAGTTATTGAGAGTTATGGCAGAAACGAGCCATTTCTTCCAGCACTACATTTGTTTTGCAAATGCTCTTGATGGCTCTCTCCAGTCAAGGGCTACGTTCTGTCTGCTGCTGCAGCCCGAAAAACCTGTTTGTGCGACCATGGTTACACAGCAAGACTTGCCATTCAAGACTCAGGTATTACATGAGCGAAACTACTTTTCTTTCAAGTGACACTCCTTGTTTTCCAGGTGACAGCACATATTAGCATTAGCAGAAAAGTCTACATTTCTTTTTGCCATCTTAACAAAAGCTCCAATTAATATTTTAGCTACATTCAAAGCTTTATGGATGAAAACAAACAGAACGGGTTAAATCCCCACTGTGTTTCACTGAGAGTCTGTTACAGATATATGACATGAAACCAATGCTTGGAACATTCAGGAAAAAACCCCACACAGTCCAGCCAGCATCCTTTCATTTGAAAAAAGTTCATTTTCAGTCCTCTTCAATCTGTGGAATATTACAAGCGACTGGTAGGCTTAGACACAGCTGTTCTGACCTTCTGTATATGCTTATTTATAGATGTAGTCTATTATTTTCCACCTACTAACCAACAAATGATACCTCTGTCCTTACCAGAAGGGCTGATTAAAATTTTGTGTAGCCCAGCAAGGCCTCATTTCATTCTTTGGTTTACAGTATCAATAGAAGGTAGCTCCTCCCTGGATTCTGGGTGTTATCCGGCGTTGATTTCACGCCTACCCCACAACCTGCCTTTTTCACAAACTGGCAGTTGTACACACATCTATCATTAGATTCCAGTGCAGGGATGGCCTCAGATGTCCTAGCACTCTGCAGACATACTGGCCCATCAAGGTTCCAGTATTGTATTTATTGCCTGTATACCTGGCAACCTGCCTAAAGAAAAAGCTTGGTAAATTCCTTACCTTGGGACTCAGCTCTACAACCATTACTTGCTTTATCAGATGATATTTTTACAGCTGACATCTGCTCTTATATTAGCAGGTCAGGCTATCAGGAAAGCCACGAAAGCACAAATGATCTGAAGTGCACTTGTCTCCTAGCACAGCTTCACATTCTACAGGACAACAAGCAAGTTCTAAACTTTGCTCTCACTCTGTTAATAAGAAATGCCCTTTGGCTCCCACCAGCCAGCCCTCACTCCAGTAGATGAGAAGTGAAAACGAAGCCTTACTTATCATCTTTTTCATAGATGTTGAGCCCTAAGGCATCAACTCCCAGCCAGAGGTCAGTTCCTTTCTTATTCTTGATTTCAAAGTAGTTGATTCCATACATCTCAAGGTCTTGAGCAATCTTCAGGTATTCCAGCATGGCATTCTCTCTGGGTGAGGCAGGGAGGAGAGCAGATGTTAGCTTCTCATTTTTCCCTGACTATCTCAAAAAGCAAAGAGTGCTCAGAAAAAAGACAAAAAAACAACAAACCTTCTCCTAAACATATCAAAATGCAGCAGTTACAACTGAACATTCTGCATTTGGGATTCACTTCAGAAGTTATGCCTTCAGTTACCTCTGTGCACACACACACGTACACTCTATATCCTTTGCCAAGGCCTGATATTTCTAGAGACAATTAGCAACTTTCATCTCTTCCCGTGTTCATCATTGTCTTAAAGTACAGTCAGTGTGAAAAGAACAGTACCCTACACTTTCCCAATCTGCCAATGAAAATGCTTCAATGAACTTAAAGGTTAGAGACACACCTTTAGTTTTATCCACTTAGTCATCACTGATGCACTGTACTTGGGTGCAGGGCTTTCAGAAAGCCACTGGTTCTCAGCACCAGCATAAAAACCCAACTGAATTTTACCATTTTACCATTTGATTCCATGTTGGATTACAAAACAAACACCAGGAGCTCCCCACACAAGTGACTCTTGGAGGCTATTCCAAAGCATGCTGTCAGAACGGCAAACTCAAGGCAACTAGGCCTAGGGAGCAACACGAAACACTTACTTGAGCATACCACTGTGTTCAGCATGCCAAACCTGGATGCGTTCCTCCCACTGCTCTCTGGAGAGTTTATGTTGATCCATCACCCTAAATACAAGTAGAGAGATATTTGCAAGATTACACTTTGTGTTCTGCTGTGTCCATCAACACTGATACCTGCTATAGTCCCACTCATGAAGTCTCACTGAAACTAAGCCTGAAGATGTGCTTTCTGGAGCAGAGCTATTCAGAATGAACAAAAAGTAGGCGTTTTTCCTGGAATTAGATACTGTGCAGAGAATCATCACAGGCGTAAAGACAAGCCACTTGTCTGGTAACATATTTATCTTTTGTGGGGACAGACTATCTAGCCTCATAACATGTTTTGCAGATATGAGATTTTGAGGACCATACACTGGGATTAAGAACACGTAACCTGCATTTTTCCAGGGAGGGCACATTCATGATTGACATCTCTTCTTAAAGATGAGACATTCACACACACTACCAGCACAGCAGCATGGCTTAGGAAAGCTGAAACCTACAGGGATTTCCTCTGCTGTATCCACCCAACTACCTCTCCCTAACCAGCTCAAAGAGATATCATAAAAACATACTCAAACACGGACAGAAATCAAGAGGACTGAAATCATCTGTGTACAGTTCAATTGAAAAACAATATACTTTCAATGAAACTTTGTATAACTAGAGGAGGAGGAGAAAAAAAAAAAAAGGCTGAATCAATTGATTCCTTTACCTCTGGGGGATCAGACGCTCTGCATTGAGGTATCCAGGCTTGTGCACATCTTTGTTGTAATCTCCAAATTTGGCCTGCACAGCATAGGAGCCAAGAAGCACTGCTGTTTCAGGAGGACAATAGATCTCATCACTGAGAATCCCTTCCTTCACCTGGAGGAAGAAAAGCTTCTGCGTGATGTCCTGTATCAGCTCTTCAGCCACATCTTCTGGGAAGAACTTGGCACGGAACCTGAACTGAAGGGGATTTTCCTTTCTGATTTCTTGAGCAGAAACCTAAGGATAGATGACACCACAACTTAAGAAGGCTGCAAACAAAGAATTGCTTTTGCACATAAAAAGGAATTTAAGACATTTGCCTTAAAAGGCATTTGTTTTCAGAAGTACATTTCTGTAGTACTTGGAGCCCACACCCTACAGTGAGAACTCTCCAACTTTCACCTCCAACTAAATACACAAAGCTCCCTGCAGAGCTGAGGCTAAACACACTCCAGCACTCCATTAATTATTTGAGAAGTCAGTCTCTAAAAAAAATAAATTAATTAAAAGCGGACACATTCCATCCCATCTCTTTCCTTTAATGAAGACAAATAGGGGTCACTTCAGAGTGAAGTAGCCACCTTCAGCTCAGTGCATCTCCTGCTAACCATGCTAGTTGGTGGCATGAAATAAAGAGGGTGCAATGGCCTCTGCACTCTAGGAAATAAATTCCAAGGCTACAGCCCATAGGCCTCCTGCAGTTTTGCATCAAGCAAGTGACTGACAGCCAATTATTCTCATTCTTTAATTCCAGCTGCTCACTCCTATGAGAACATAGAGGAGATGCGTTGTTATTTCAAACTCAGTAAAATTCTGCTTGTAAACAAATCTCAGCCTCTGAAAAATGCAGGGTTTACTGCTGCAAACCATCTACTGTTCTACACTTGTGACACATCATCCCCCTTATGCTAAGCAGGTATGTCACTGACTGCCTCTTCAGGAAAGACAGTTCATTCCATCCTAAGAATTTCAAGTTTGCAAGTTCACAAACAAAAGCAGATCAGACACATGAGTCTCTATGTTACCACTGCCCAGACCTGAAGCAACCTTTTTTTCTTTTTTTTTTTTTTTTTTTTTTTTTTTTTTTAAATCAAGCAACTGATCCTACCCAAGCAAAGACGAATGAAAGCCAGCTGTTTCTACACAGCAGAATACAGTATCAAGCTGCTGATCTACAGTGAGAATTTCCACCATTCATACAGAAAGACCAAGTCTCCACCACGTCACACTTCACACGAACAGCTCCCACGGAGGTCACATAGTTTTCCCCCAAAATAATTATTAAATTATGCATATTGAAGACTAATCAGCAAGTACAGGGTTTATGAAGTTGCAGCCAGTAACACATGAGGAATCACATAAGCTGTAACTGTTAATCAGCAATTACCTTTTTGTCCAGCTTCAGCCAAGTCTGGAATCCTTTGTTGTCTACATACTGCAGACCGAAGTACCACACTTCTCTCAAACCAATGGTTTTAACCACCTGTAACAGAAAGGTCAAAAAAACTTATGGTAGGTAATGGTTCACCAGTAATTCTCCTTCATGTATCCACACAAATCCCACAGCCACTGAAGCTGTAGGCAACCTACTCCTCCTGCATCTCTTTACTTCATCTATCTGACAAAGATACACAGTTGCCTCTGTAGAAGATGCTGATGTTGGCTACATTCACACATTGTAAATACCAAACAGATCAAAGATCCTGAAACATCCTTGCTGTATGGATCACACACCTACTAGTGAAAACAGATCTCTTTTCAACAAGTTCCTTTTCCTCGTTAGAAACGATAGCCTAAGAATTCTTGATCTCCTATTTTCATTTGCTTATTATTATCGCTCAGTAGTTTGTTGCTGGCTCATCTGCCAGCAAAGCCATGCTCTAGACAGAGCTGAGATCAGGGATGATCCACTGCACGTGGATCCAAATGTACCCCTGCTGCTAATTTGCAAAGTAGCCCCTGGTACAGTGGTGTGAGCATTACCACAGAGCTGAACTGAGTGGAAAGCAAGAGGTTTTCAGAACTACTCAGCAATTTAGGAAAGCATGACAGACTCTAAATTTCAGACTCCACTCTGAAAGTAATGCCTTCTATTTCATTATGTTGGCTCACAGTGTCAGAGGTGGACAGTGGTATGGCAGCAGAGTTTGAACCTTTCCATTACGTTCTGTTGCTGTGCAATAGATGGCAGCAGAGGGGCAGTCTGACAGAACGGCATCTGACATGGAAGTGTACACGGAACACAGGAGTGGGTTTGAATTCCTCCGTGCAGAGAAAAATGGCCCACAATAACATTCATCAGTGCTTGCTGAATGTTTGTGGAAAGCAAACAGTGGATGTGAGCACAGTGAGGTGGTGGGTGGTATGTTTCAGAAGTGGCAACAGCAATGTGAAAGACAAGCCCCGGCCTGGATGGCCACGCAGAGCTGTCATGCCATGAAATGAAGAGCATCTTGATCAGCTCACCCACATGAATTGGCAAACCACGGAATTGTGTATGGAGCTGAATATCAGCTTCAAAGCATGCAGTGGCAGCAATCTTGGAATATCCTAAAGTTTGCTCCAGGAGAGTCCCAAGAATACTCATACAAGAACAGAAAAAAACTGCATGCAAGTTTGTCGAGACCTATTGAACCAATACAAAGCAGAAGGTGATAGTTCCCTGGATCACATCATTACCTGTGACAAGATATGGTAACATACCTACGAGCCAGAGTCAATGCAGCAGTCCATGGAGTGGCAACATGTCAACTCCCCATTGAAAAAAAAGCTCAAGATACAACCTTCCAGATTAATATGTACTATTTGGTCTAGGAAGGAGGTGATCCTTCTGGTTTTCCTTGAACCCAGAGAAGCCATCAACTCTGAGCACTACATCGTGATGCTGACTAAGCTGAAAGCTCAAACTTCTGGAGTCAGGCCAGAGAAGAAGGCAACCTTTCTCTCACAACATGATAATGCCAGCCTCCATACCAGTTTGAAGGCCATGGAGAACACTGCCAATGTTGTCCTACCACACCACTGGATTTAGTGCCTTCTGGCTTTCGTTTGTTTGGGCTGATGGAAGATGGACTGTGTGAGCAACATTTCCCAGCAACAGTGCCATCAGAGCAGCTGTGAAACAGTGGGTCACATCTGCTAGCATAGATTCTTTTTGTTCATCACTGGCACAAATGCACAGCTGGTGGTGACTTTGTTGAAAAATACTACTTTGTAGCTGAGAATTTGCTCTCAGTTATTGAGTCCTTTGTAGCTATCAGAGCAACCTACTTAGTTACCTGGACTATAAGCTCAAACAAGGATATTTCACCCTCCTTATTTAAAGCATTGCTGAAGACAATGTGGCCAGAGAAAACACTGGAACAAACTTTGTACTAAATGCACTCTTTGAACAGCACAAGTATTTTGTTCCAAAGCAAATAGCTAGGGGATCTCTTATTAATTTTTTGCTATACTTGCCCTTAAATTTGCTTACCAATGAGACAGAGGCCAGCAGTTTGTGCTCAAGAGTTTCCAGGGGTTGGTAAGGGACGTGGATAAAAAATACATCATCCTGGCTAGCACTCTGTGAAGTACTCCTTATGTGTCATCTCGATCAACAGACAACATAATGCTTAGTGATAAAAGCAGGCCAAGAAAACCACATATGCATTACTATAGCCACCCATTTCCTGAAACACCAGAACTTTGTTTTTATTTCATAAAAGAGCTGGGCTCTGAAAATACTTTAGCCTTCTCTTGACTAGAACTCCTCTTCCCTCGTTCCCCAGACACCTGTTTCACCACAAAGGTACCAAGTTTTCTGAAGGCCAGATGTGTTTAACAGTCAGAATCAGGCTTTACTCAACCTAGCAGAAATGCAGGCCTGTGTTGAGAGTGGTGCTTCCTGTTGCACAAAGAAAGTGTTGCAACATTGTCAGAATGAAGAGTTGCACAAATCAAGCAGTTATCTGGTCATTATCTCTGAGTGCCTCTTATGAAGAAAAGTTATGCATTCTCTATACATTAAGACAGTCGGAAAGCTTACAGAAGTTATGGCCCTGCAGCTTCTTCCCAAAACCTAAAGGCAAGGAAGGGAAAAATATTAAGCTAAGCTTCAGAATTTGGGGTAACAAGAACAAAGACATGAATCTTTTAGCCTGTATTCTGAGAAACAGCTTTGTAAACTTCCTTCACAGCAAAACAAGAGGAAAAACAACAACCAAAATATTCCTTACATCCAAGATAACAGGTCTGAGAGAATGCATAAAAATGCATGAAGTACAAAATCTTAAGCCCATCCATCCTACCAAGATGGGCAAAGAATCTCTCAAAACCACAACTGAAGTAAAGGCATATTCATGCAACAGAGCTAGGCAAGTTCACGTTTGTTTAATGAAGTTTTTCAATTCTTCAGCCTTCTGATTCTCTCCTGGTCAGATGATCTGCTCAAAAGGGATACTGCAGTTGCCTTAAGAAACTCTATTAGCTGATGGGTCACAGGACACTGCATACTTGTGCTTGGCCCTGTAAGGCACTGGCTATGCCAGTTCCCACTCAGAAATTGCCAATGGCACACTCTCCTCCAAGGGAATTTCTTTCCCTTGTTAGTAGAAAGGCACAGGACAGCCTGGACCACCCAAGGAGATGTCCTGGAGCCAGCTTCAGAGATCACTACATGGGTTCTCAGAACACCTCAGATACAGTTGCGGCTTCAGTGGAGCTGTACTCAATATTCAGTGGTTTCATTATTTTCCCCTTCCTCTACCAGAGAGTTTTGACTCCTATGCATCATACGTTTGAGGTAGAAAAGTCAATAAAGCCGAAGGGCAGTGCCTGAGTAATTTTCCTAGCTGATAGCCAGACCAAGAAATCATGCTGTTGTTTTTAAAAATAGCTTGCTTCTTCAGCAGTCTTTTCCTCCCGCAGTGGTTTTGCAGCTCAAGTTGGGCCACTCCCCATTCCTGTGCAAACCTGTTGCTTCCATATGCTTTATCTGAGTGCAAACTCCATCCAAGATAAGGGCCCAGTAAAGAGAAAGAAGGCTGTGAGAAAAGTTGAAGTGAAATATAGTTTTCATCCGCCCAAGTTTGTGCTGCTGTTCTACCGAAGTTCCCTCCTGATGTATAGAAGTGCAGCCCAACAAGGTATAAGCTGATAACTTTCCAATGATAGGTTTTAAACCCAAGGTACAGGAGGTAAGGGCCAAATCTTCAGGAGGTGATTTTCCATCCCTACAGCACATCAAACACTGCAACAAGAGCAATCTTCAGAGCTTCAGAACAACTTAGCAGACAGGAGGTATCTTGGATCTGAAGTAACCTGCCTTCTCAGGAGTTCTTGCTTCTCAGTGAGAGGTCAAGAAAGTAGCTTCTCTTCTGCCAGAGATGATTCTGACTCTTAACAGATGTAAACAAATCATTGTCATGAAAAACACAGGGCATAGTTATACTTTCTGTCTAAGCTGCTGCTTTTAAAAGCATAGCTTTTAGTCATTTGTGTTGCTGTGTCCTCAGAGATGAAACCTGAGTTTTCTGTTCTGGTTTAACATGGAAGGGAGGGGGAGAGGTAGCACAAGGGTGATGTGTTGGGAATGGAAGGCCAAACACAACATGCTAGCTCCAAAAATATGCAGGTGTTTCAGAGGCACTTCATTAAATTGCTGATTAATAACTTTAAATCTATCCCACAGTAATGAAAATCAAAAGGAATTAAACTTATTACTAGTGCTAAACACACAATTTGTGGTACTCTTGTGTATTGCAAAGTTCTTCAGTGATTATAATTTTGTTTCTTGGAAGAAATACATTTCTGTTTCACAGAATCATCATAGAATGGTTTGGGTTGGAAGGGACATTTAAAATCACCTAGTTCCAACCTCCTGCTATATGCAGGGATGCCTTCCACTAGACTAGATTGCTCAGAGCCCCATCCAGCCTGGCCTTGAACACCTTCAAGGAGCTGGCATCGACCACTTCCCTGGGCAACCTGTTCTAGAGTCTTACCACCCTCAATTTCCCAATATTTAGTCTAAATCTGTCTTCTTCCAGTTTAATTGCATTTCCCCTTATCTTGTCGCTACATACCCTTATAAAGTCTCTCTCCTGCATTCCTGCAGGCCTCCTTCAGGTACTGGAATGCCACTATGAGGTCCCCCAGAACCTTCACTCCTCCAGGCTGAAAAGCCTCAAATCTCTTAGCCTGGCCTCATAGCAAAGGCACTTCAGACCTCTGATTAACTTTGTGGCCCCCCTCTGGACTCAATCCAGCAGTTCCATGTCCTTTGTTGGGGGTCCCAGAAGTGGATGCATCCTGCAGGTACTGCAGGAATCTCATGAGAGCAGAGTAGAGGGGCAGAATCACCTCCCTTGACCTGCTGGTCATGCTTCTCTTGATGCAGCCCAAGATACAGTTGGCCCTCTGGGCTGCAAGCACACACTGCTGGCTCATGCTGAGTCTTTCATCAACCAACACTCCCAAATCCTTCTCTTCAGGGCTACTCCCAAGCCATTCTCCACCCACACCGTATTTGTGCTTGGGATTTTCCATTTTACTCCAATTTGGTGACCATGATGTCACAAGGGACAGTGCCAAATGGTTTGTACAAGTTCACATCAGCTGCTCTTTCTCTATCCACTGATGCTGTAACTCCATCATAAAAGGCCACCAAGTTTGTCAGGCATGACTTGCCTTTGCTGAAGCTATGTTGGTTATCACCAGTCATCTCATCTTTATTTTCCATGTGCCTTAGTGCACTTAGGGCCTTCAGGAGGAACCTACTCCATGATCTCACCAGGCACAGAGGTTATGTTTCCCCTTTTCTGGTCAGTGGGAACTTCACCAAACTGCCATGATCTTTCAAATAGGATGGATAGCTGCATGGCAACTTTATCTGCCAATTCCCTCAGAACCAGTGGATGGATTTCATTGGATCCCATGGAATTGTGCACCTTCAGGTTTTTTTACATGGTCTTGAACCTGATCTTCACTTAAAACAGGTAAATCTTCCTTCTCCCAGTTCTTACCTTTGTTTTCTGCAACTTGGACTTGTTTGAAATTTGTTTGAAGAGTACTTCTCACTAAGTCTGCACTACTGTCATAAAGCCTAGCAAGTTCTAGTTAACTCACTGAAGTGAGAAACTGTACCAAGAGAAATTCAGAACGAACAAACATTGTTTAGCCAGTTTTACCTACCTGAGTTAAAACTCAACCACCCTTCCCTATCAAGACCGCTGGGAACAAGGCGAAGTGCAAAAGAATCACTGCAGCACTTCATAAATACATGGAACTGAAGTCTACACAGATTAATTCTTAGTTTTCAGAGCTTCAGCAGAAACATCTAGATGCAAGCTCTTTTTACTATTTTGTTCTATTTTAAATTTCAGAAGTTGATTTTTCTGATGAAACCAAGGTCTTAAATCAGTTTTATGGTGACAAACTACTTAAGACTAATAAAGTTCTACAAAGTGCTCTTTGTTTAGTTGTCATTTCCTGATCTTTGTAGGTCCATCACCAAACAGACCTGTACACTGTTACAGAATTGTAGGGGTTGGAAGGGACCTCCAGAGATCATCGAGTCCAACCAAAGTTTTAACCACTGTTAATGCAGTGGCAGGAAGAGTAACAGTAAGAGAAGGGAATTTCCCTACTCGTGTTCTCCACTTCTTTATGAATCTCTGGATGCAGGCTAGGCAAGTCTCTACTCTGCCCTGTTGCACAGGGGCTTCACACATAGCATGATATGCTGTAGCTTCTGCATGGCGAACAAACCCTTCTGCTCTACTAGTAGTTTGGAAAACTCGAACACCTGTGGCAAGTTGTAACCTCCAACTCAGCTTCTGGATGAACACATCTACACCTACATTCATCAACTATGTGAAGACCTCATTCTGAAAGGTTTTATGCACAGGGGGCAACACCTCAATTTTAGAATTTAAGAAATGAACAAAAGATAAGCTGCATTTCAAAGCTTAAGTGTATTTTTACACACAACTATGTTGTCCAGACATTCTAGATTCCTTGTAATACATTGTCATTCAACACTGCTAAGAAGTCAGGTTTCACTAGAATGTAACTTATCTGCAGGGATTTTTGCTTATTTCTTTCACTGTGATGGACTTTCGAGAACTTAGGACCAGGGCCCTTTTATTAACAGGCAGAGAAAAGAAAGATAGGAAGGTTTGGAATTCAAACTTCAGAAACCAGTTGTCTTCAACATACTCTAAGCTTAAGCAGCAAGAGCCCGCACCAACCCCACGCTGACCTGATCAAACAGCTGTTTGCCTGTAGTGTTTGGCTGGATGGCAAACTCCAGCTCTGCATCCACAGTAACAACTCGAACATTGATCTATGGAGAAAAACAAAAAGCATTGTTTAAGGTACATTGAAAACTATTTCTCTGTGTGAATACAATACTTTGCACACAATACAGTCTCCATTTTTTTTTATACACTAACATAACCCTTATACTCTAGGCATTTAAGCCCCAGTTATATTTTTGTTATCACACCAAACTTAATTGGAGCGCTGACTTTGCTGTCTTATCTAGATTGTTCTGCAGGTTTTCCTTTTCAACACAGAATTGGCTACTGATTGAATGAAGCAGCATTTTAGAGTTGTCAATCTCCAGGCGTAAAATCCTTTAGAATAAGGGTTTCTGCAAAGCATGCAAAATAGCTGCCTACAGGCCATCTCTTTGATTACAAAAAGCCCTAATGACTAAATTGAATTTAAGACTTGTAATTTAACTTCCATTTATATTAGAGCTAGAATTAATCTGAGATTCTAAAGGCTTCAGATTATTCTTATTAGGCAAAAAGCAATAGCTGATAAATTTTCATTCTTCACCTCATAAAAATCTACTCGGCACAATAACAACATTATAGGGTAAGAGTTCATTAACGGCTAACTTTAGCGAAGAAACACTTTAACCAGATTTGTTCCAATGACAGGAGTGCAAGACAGGGGTTAGCATTGTATGCAGACGGCAATTGTTTAGCTAATGACTAGAAAAAGTCTATTAGCATTTAATCAGGATACAAAGCAACAACCAAGCTTGCAGAGAACAGCATAAGGAGCTGCAAGATAACAGCAAATCAAGAAAGGATTATCTTCAACTCTTCCATTACAGGAGACTACACCACTTGGAATATTACACCACATTTCAGAAAGAAGGAAGTAAAACAATCCCAAAACAAAACAAAGAGATAAAAACCCAAACTCAGACAAGTAAGATTTGTAGCTTGGATTTTAAAAAGAAGAGAATGGTTTGGCTTGGAAGGGACCTGTAAGATCACCTAGTTTCAGCCTCTTGTTTTAGGCAGGGACACCTCCCTCTAGACTAGTTTGCTCAGAGAGCCATCTGGCCTGGCCTTGGATATTTCCAGAGAGGGGGCATCGACAAACTCACTGGGCAACCTGTTATAGAGCCTCACCACCCTCACAGCAAAGAATGTCTTCCTAATAGATATAAGGCAGTCTAAATCTGCCTTTTCCTAGTTTAAAACCATTTCCCCTTGTCCTGTCACTACCTGCCCTTCTAAACAGTTCCTCCCCAGATTCCCTGTAGGCCCCAGACAAAATGCAAATTACACAGAGCATTTTATAAACATTATGCTACAGACAGCGAGCTAACAGATCCCTAAAGCCTGCTTCAGCTGCAGCACTGGCACCTCTGCAGAGGCACACGTGTGAAGGAACCACAGGATGCAGTGCAATAGGAATCAAATCACTCACTACAAAACCCAGACACTGCAGCAGTTTCTAGCCATTTAATTGTGTACATTTAAATTCTACAGTAAATGTCAAGTAAAAGAACGTGTTACAATTAACTGCAGCACTTTGGATCACAGGACTATGTTAAGGCTTCCTTCCTGCAGCTTAAGAACCAAGTTTCTCAAACAGTGTAACAAGGTAAGATAGCAAATTCTGGAGAACAGCAAGACTACAATTTGAAGCCACGACCTTAAAAAGCTCCTGCTGCTTAATTCCTCTCAGCAATAAATCCCTAATCATAATCTAATTCCTTTTTACCCCCCCTCCCCCAAGAAAACATATGCTGATAATCCGCTGTTTTGCATTGTGCAAGTTATTTGCACTTCTGGCTGAATCACCACAGTGGGTATAAAAATGAGTATCGCTTCACAAGTTAAATAAATTTAAAGGATGTGCTTCTCAATCCAGTAAAGGTGCAGGATGTTGGCTGAGCACTGGATTCCTGTCGGTATCAGGATAGCCATCTTTATCTCCTTAGTGGTTATCTGCTAATTAAAAACAAGCAAAACCCATGAAACTTAATTCTTTAGCACTAAGACTAAGAATTGAAGTCCCCTGCTTCCTACTTCAACTGACAGCCACAAGAACAGAGGAACACGACTGCTTGCTTATCTAAGAGCTCCCAGAGACATCTGGGGCAGTGGTAAAGGTTAATTTCTGTGTGTCAGAAGGACTCAATGACCAGCAGGACACAGAGGAATTCCCTGGTGTGTTATCTGACAGCCCCACATCACATGACAGGCAGACTAATGAGGGGCTGTCATTTCCCTGAACAGACGACTGCTTGGCAAAGTCCTTCAGAGTGTCCTTTCTGCCATAGTACATCCTCCTGCTTCTCATCTCTGAGCCTTGATTTCAAGAATATAAAGGATTTAGATGTATTTTTAATTGCATGCTCTACAACCACTCCACACAAGGTTTTAGCCACAGAGAAGCAGGTAATGAAGCAGACGGTCAGAGCTTAATCCACCTGAAACCCTGGTTTAGGCAGTCTGGAAAAACTTCATTGTCTGCCAGGCTGAGAAGACGTGAATGTGACATACAGCTCAGATCATAAGAAACTCCCTACAGCATCAAGATGACTAAATCAAAGCCCAAGATGAACAACAATAAAACAATGCAAGATACTGTTGCAGAGGGAAATAGGAAACCCCTCTAATTCCTATAAGCAACAAAAAGAGCAAGAAAGAAGTTAAGAAAAGTTAAGAAGTTAAGGAAACCTTCACACGCAAAATCCTGCTTATCCCACATGGACAAAACAGGTCATTTGTGAGATCCCTACCAAATCCTGGCAGTATTCCAGGTCTAAAACTGAAGCCATAAGCAAATAGTTTAATTGTTTCACCACAGTGGGAGAGGAGCAGCAAAAAAAAAAAAAAAGTCCATGACTTACACACGAAATAAGTTTTTAAAGCATAAGCATAGATTATGCTTAAAATCCTAGACAGAAAGATTCAGCTTCCTAATCCATGGGCTCATGCTGTAAAAATTTGATTATACTTCTACGCCCAAGGCTAACATGCTTAAAATGAAAGAAAACTAGGGCCTTAGAAACCTTATTAGTGTGTACTGAAGCGCTGCAGAACACAAGGCTTTCATCTTTCTCTGCTTAGGATGCGAAAGATTGCTAACAAATTTGATCCACAGAGGAAAAAATAAGCGGTTGACAACACAATGCCATTTGCATTGAAAGGAAAAAAAAGCTCCATGAATCATAAAGACAACAGAAGCTGAAGAACTCATTTTACTGAATACTAATTCCACGAATTCAGATTGTTCAGGGTAGAACAATAACATTATCTACATTTCCAACAGAGACAGGAAAGTAGAAATAAAATAAAAGACTGAACTGGAGAGAACCTCAGAGCAGACTTTAAATAATCTTAACGCTATGGAAAGTTCCTACACTAGAAGTTACACCAGTTAGGATGGGTTCTTTCTTGTACCAATAGTGCCCTCAGATTTTGCACTTACTCTTTACTTTCCTCAAGACAGTAACTGTTATAATGCTAAATCAGGAAATCAGTCCATGGCAGACTGCAGATTTCAGAGATTGCACCTGAAAAACATTCAGAAAATGTGGTCTCTTAAGGAGGCGACGTGTTGCCAACCATGTAGTAAGAGGCAGCACCTTCTCTGTGTAAGATCTATGACCTAGATAAAAACCCAAGGTGACACTGCCTCTTCAGACCTCTCTCTTAGATGAGCAGATCCCAAGTGTGTTGGGCACTGTATGTGCAGGCAGCTTTTTGTCTGACTCATGGGCTTGTTGGTTCAGAATCTGTTTCTGGCTGCAGCCAACATGCTGTCTTTGGAGTCGATCATCCATCTCCTGATAGATAACTGCTCTACTGCAAAAAATCCTACACTGAAGGTGAAAAGAGGTGGAATGGGGAAGAAGAACACAACAACAACAAACACATACTCCATACACAGCAAGCTGTATGGATATTTCACATACCTATGCATGAAGGAAACCTAATTGCCCTTACATTCAGTTGAATAATTTAATTACACAACCAACCATGAAGTTCTGCAAGTCATTTAAAATGCCATACAATTTATTTTCATAAGATAAAGGGCAGTAAATACCAACCTTTACACACATACATAAGAGAAACCAGTACTTTACTTCATCCATATTATCATTAGGCAGCTCTAAATGCCTCTGATAATGGCCAGGAATGTTTTCTTCCTCTTTTCAAAGAGGGATAAAGACAAGAGTCTCCTAACTAGCAGGTTTGCAGGTGGAAATGCTAGTGAAGCATCCTTCCAAGTGGTGGCAACAAGCACCATCATAATGGAAAGACATAAACAGAAATGCCTTCTTTCTTCAGGCATAAAGTCTGGAAATCCCAAGTAAGTAGCTGGTACACGTAAACAGTCCAACCACATATCAGAGGGTACAAGGGTTTGTTGAAGTGCTGCAACTGCACAGCACTTACTGTGAAAAATGCATATATAGCCCTGTAAAAGTTTCCTGCACACAGTCAAGCTGTCTGCGTAGCACACGGCTGTGTCTGTGCTGAAGGAATGTAGCCTTCTCAGCAAAGAACTGAAAGAAACAGCATTAAGAATCACAAGCCACCCTGGCTTGCATTCTTGCTTCTGCAGGTCCGTATGCTATATCTGCTCCTCCACCACACAAACAAGTACTACTGTATTTGCAATCAATGACAAGCTTTTTCCTCTGAGTTGTAATGCGTCTGCATGGATGAAATAATTACATTTCAACCTTAGCAACCAGACCTGTTTATAGATGCATACAGTGATTGGGCAGCTGATAATAGAAAAAGCCATTTCACACAGCAGCTTTAGAAAGGGCACTGAAACTGCTCTCTATTCCTCTGCCTTCAATGTATTAGTGTTCATTGGAAACAGGCTCAACAACAAAGAGAGAACACTGTCAGCTCTGTTTGATGACAGCTATTGTGCTGCAAACTGATGGCGTAACTGTAGGCCCTGATGTTGGAAACTATTTGGGGAAAAAATATTCAGTTCTGTCCAGGAAAGAAACCCTTGAGGCTCCAAGCTCAGCTGTGCTCAGCACCCTTCCTCTTGTCACATCTACTT